TGCGTGGGGTTTTCGGAATGTGAATTAGACACATTAATCAAATACACAGAAAGAAAAGGACTCTAGACAGGGTCGATAGTCAAGTGAGGCTTCCACTGGATATAATTACAGATACTCCAATGACAAGAACCCTAACAGATACTCATAGACGCCGGATACCAAAAAAGTCCGAACGCCGCAGGAAACCAGTTATAAAGCTGCAAGTAGACCCGAAGAAGAAGTCTTATTTTTTGAAAGAGGGGAGGCGTTGGGGTGATCCAGAAAATTGCTTGCAAAAGACAAGCAAGCATCAGGAAACACTAAGAAGCGTTTCGTCCAATCAGCGTTCACTTGGAGTCTTGGCCAGAAATATCAAGGAAGCGAAACGTCACATGCAGAGGCTCTGACTGGTTGGCTGCTACACTGCTACTATATTTAGTAGCACTCCAGAATATTCCAGCGACCCAAGAACATTTAAAATATTATAAAAACCCTATATTTTCTGTAATAAAATGAACCTTGGAGTAAACTACTTTTCGTATACTTTGAGTCTTCTCTCTCGTGTTCAGGTCGCTGTCTAGTTCTAGCTTGGGGGTTACAGAATAGCTTAGGAGACGAATATAACGTTCAAATCCGCAAACTTATCAGTCTACTTTAAAAATAATACATCTCACTTTGCCTCATGCATTTCTGTTACAACTGATCGGTATATTTAGTCTATTTATAACAATTCACATCAAAGTTTGGCATAGTTTGTGAATCGGCTTTCACCAAGAATATTTTTTGGTTGTGAACCGAATTACTTGTTGAAAACCTGACAAACTAAACCTCAGTAGAATATGAAAAAGATAAGAGATTATTTATACAGTTGAAAGAGACGTCCAAAACTAGATGCATTTAATAACCCGAATATTGAATAAATTATTAATTACTACGGAATGTTTTATTTATGGAAAAAACGCTGAAATAATTTTGAACAGTTCGAACTTGGTATTTTCTTGATTCCATATCAACAGGTTTTCAAGAAGTAATTCGGTTCACAACCAAAAAATATTCCTGGTGAAAGCCGATTCACAAACTATGCCAAACTTTGATGTGAATTGTTATAAATAGACTAAATATACCGATCAGTTGTAACAGAAATGCATGAGGCAAAGTGAGATGTATTATTTTTAAAGTAGACTGATAAGTTTGCGGATTTGAACGTTATATTCGTCTCCTAAGCTATTCTGTAACCCCCAAGCTAGAACTAGACAGCGACCTGAACACGAGAGAGAAGACTCAAAGTATACGAAAAGTAGTTTACTCCAAGGTTCATTTTATTACAGAAAATATAGGGTTTTTATAATATTTTAAATGTTCTTGGGTCGCTGGAATATTCTGGAGTGCTACTAAATATAGTAGCAGTGTAGCAGCCAACCAGTCAGAGCCTCTGCATGTGACGTTTCGCTTCCTTGATATTTCTGGCCAAGACTCCAAGTGAACGCTGATTGGACGAAACGCTTCTTAGTGTTTCCTGATGCTTGCTTGTCTTTTGCAAGCAATTTTCTGGATCACCCCAACGCCTCCCCTCTTTCAAAAAATAAGACTTCTTCTTCGGGTCTACTTGCAGCTTTATAACTGGTTTCCTGCGGCGTTCGGACTTTTTTGGTATCCGGCGTCTATGAGTATCTGTTAGGGTTCTTGTCATTGGAGTATCTGTAATTATATCCAGTGGAAGCCTCACTTGACTATCGACCCTGTCTAGAGTCCTTTTCTTTCTGTGTATTTGATTAATGTGTCTAATTCACATTCCGAAAACCCCACGCACTTTGCATAAAACACTCCCCATTCTCTTCTCAATGACTTCCTGTTCCCAACGATTTTTCCAAATGTATGATTTGACGAGCACTTTATCACCGACGTTAAAACTACGAATATTCTGATTTTGTTTGCGTCCATCCATTAGTTTAGGTGGTACCATGACGTCGAATATGGTTCGGATGCTTCTCCCGAACATCGCTTCAGCAGGGGACTTACCATTCGGGACAATAGGGTTCTACATGCTGTTAAGAATTTCGTAATTACCTGACTTGGCCCTCTCAGTAGTGCTCTTTTGAATGTGTCCAAGAAGGGCTCTGCCTGGCCATTTGATTGAGGGTGATACGGTGGAGATCGTATGTGCACAACCTCATTAACGTTGAAGTGCTTGAATGATTCTGCAGTGAATTGTGAGCCGTTATCAGTCACTAAAGTCTCCGGAACTCCAAAGCAGCTAAACAGTTCGGATAACTTGCTGATTGTTTCACTGGGTGTGCAATTCACCATGGCGTAGATTTGTGGCCATTTTGTGAGTGCGTCTACTATGACTAGATACATTCTTCCCCGTATTGGACCGGCGAAATCTGCATGCAGCCTCTCTCAGGGATTATTCGGTTTTTCCCATTGTTGCGGTTCACACTTGCTTGGACTTTTGGCTGCACGATGAACAATTGCGGCATCTGGTTTCGATATCTTGATCCATCGTAGGCCAGTATGGGTAGCTTCGAGCCAACGCTTTCATCTTATTGATACCAGGATGACCGCTGTGTAATTGTCTCAGAACCTTGTAGCGTAATACTTTTGGAACAATAATTCTGTCACCAAACATAATACATGAGTCGACCATCATGAGTGAGTCCCATCGGCGAAAATACTGTAGCATTTCTCCTTGAAAACGACGGTTCGGCCACTTGGTGAGAAGATAACCACTAACTTCTCTTAAAGTATTGTCATTTTCCGTGGCTTCTTTGATGGCCTTGAAAGCAACTGGTAAACCATCGACTACGTCTTCCAATACTCGATGTACTTCTGTTTCCATCTCGATTGCTGCCACCAAAGTGTCTTCTTCCTGTTTTACTTGTGAACCAATCAGTCTAGGTAAAGCATCAGCTTGTTCAAAATCAGTAGTCGGCTGGTACTTGATCTTGAAGTCATAACCCAAGAGTGTAGTTCCCCAACGTTGCAGTCTGTTTGCTGTGTATACAGGTATACCTTTCTTCGACCCAAAGATGGCTAGCAATAGTTTATGGTCAGTAAATAGAGTGAACTGACGTCCAAATATCATCTTGTGAAATTTCTTGACAGCGAAGATAATCGACAATGCTTCCTTCTCGATCTGACTATAGTTACGTTCTGCTGACGTTAACTATCTAGCTGCATGTGATATCGCTTTTTCAGATCCATCTGGCATGATGTGAGAAATAATTGCTCCAATGCCGTAGTTTGAAGCGTCTGATGCTACTACAATGGGTAAAGATGAATCGTAATGGGTGAGCAGCAGATCCGAGACTAATACTTTCTTGATTTCATTGAAAGCGGCTTGGCAAGTTGCAGACTAATTCCATTTTACATTCTTCGCCAGAAGGTTATTCAAGGGGGCACGTAATTGATGAAGGTCCGGAATAAAAGCTCCACAATGACTAACGAGTCCCAAGAAGGATCGTAGTGTGGGGACATCCGTCAGTCTGGGCATAGTTTTCACTGCTTGGGTATTCTCCGGATCTGGTCTTCTGCCACCTTTGTCGATTATAAATCCAAGGTAGCGTACCTTTTGCATACAGAAGTTACATTTCTCTGGACGAAGCCGAAGTCCATAATCGGCTATTCGCGACAGCACCTGGTCGAACTTCTTTTCTAAGTCTATTCTATCTACTCCCATAATTATTATATCATCTAGATAAGCTGCAGCACCTGGGACATCCTGTAGCATAGTATCCATTATTTGCTGAAATATGGATGGGGCCGTCTTGACTCTGAATGGTAGTCGATTATACCGGAATAGGCCCTTGTGTGTGTTTATGGTACGCAGGTTTTTAGACTCGTCAGCAACAGGGATTTGTAAATAAGCTTCTGATAAATCCAACTTTGCGAAAAGCTTACCTCCATTCAATTTAGCAAAAAGATCTTCAGGTAAGGGTAATTAATGGATACTGATGAGTTTCTAAGGCTTCGTTCAACCCGGTTGATTAGTCGGCACATAAACGGACGCTACCATTAGTCTTCTTTACTACTACTATCGGTGCGGCCCATTCTGAGAAATTCACCGGTTCAATGACACTCAGTTTCTGAAGTCGTTCTAGATCTTGTTCAACCACTGAGAGGGCAGCATATGGTACGGGTCTTTTAGGACGAAACACTGGTTTTGATCCCTGTCGAAGGGTAAGAGCAGCCTTAAATTTAGTGCATTCTCCAAGACCATCACTAAATACCATTTTATGTCGTTATAATAATGCTTCCACTGAGTTTTCCTCATCAACTTTCGACGTACTGACGTTGTTACAGATTGAGTTTATGGGGAGATCTGTTAACTTCAACGTTTCTATATATATATATATATATATATATATATATATATATATATATATATATATATATATATATATATATATGACGCTTCAGATAAATCAGAAATATTTCGCTTAGGATTTTTTTCGCCAGTACCTGTAGTCTAAATAAGCCACGACGTAAGGTTTAACTGAATTAAGTAATCAAGTTCCTGTAAATCTGTGAATTTAAATCAAGCGATTCAATAATAAATCTGAACCGTTCATTGTTTTATGTGCTTAATTTTAGCAATTATATTTCCGACTGAAAATGTGATTATTTAATATGTAAGTTGTTTTAGTTTTTTCGTTGTTCATGTTAATTACTGCAACTATTCAATTCTAGGTAAAACGAAACACGTATATTGGATTCTGTTGCTATGTTCTATCCAAGTTTGCTTCAAGATGGGATTGTCTTAAAATTTGTTATCAAGACTTTTCGTGTATCAATAATATAGACTATGGTGTTTCAGTTATAAAAACATATTTTTGCCTGAACTAATTTACTGGTATTCTATCCATTTGATATCTATTTTCTGAAACGTTAAGAAGAATTCGAAAGCAGTTTGATTTTTCAATGTTTTTGAATTGATGTGTTTCATTTTCAATCATCACTTTTGAATTTCTAAAGGTTCTTTTCCATCTACTTCTCTTATACCTCGTTTTTTTTCGAAACAGGTTGAAAGTTTCTGTCCACGATTGGATAGCAGAAAATTTCTGAAACGTCATAGTGAAGCTCAGGTATGAATTATGTACATATATATATATATATATATATATATATATATATATATATATATATATATATATATTATTTCTGTGACTATTGTTAGTGAACGGATAAATTCATTGTTTTCACAGTTGGGTGTGTTTGTAGATACTTTTATTCAGTAAACTCATGTCATGTCTTCATAAAGCTGTATTGATGACATTAGCTCTTTCACCAACAGAAAATCAGGCTATGTTCTAAGCTACACGATTATATGGTATAATCCTAGCCTTTTATGTACTGTAAAACGTTAATTATTCTCAGCTAATCGCTACCATTTAAAAATTCCGAGTCGTCATAGAGCATTTCTTTCATTACGACAAATATTTCTTCGTCTGACTACTGGTATCATATCTACCATCTTCAATTTTTACAGGCAATGATAATTGCACAAGTTTATGGTGTTATGGCTTTCTTTTTTCGCAAAAACCTTGTTGCCAATTTTTATGGCTTATGGCCTGTCAATTCTTACGTAATAAGATCACTAATCAAAACACGACTTATACAATCTTAGTACTGTGCCAACCCAATGACGTATTGACCGGTATGATCAGTCTAGAGTCCTTTTTGGTCCTTCTCGTCTAGTCCTGTCTATTGATACCAGAACACCGATATCAGCTTCCATCATACGAATAATATATTTCAGACATACTTGGTTTATATACAAGCGAATAGGACCACATCATACCATAAAATTGGAAAATAACAATTATATATATATATATATATATATATATATATATATATATATATATATATATGTTGTGAGGGTATGACTGCTGAGATAAACCGTTCGGCAATTCTATGTCCTTAATTGTTTATAACTTACGGACTGAGGCTTAATATATATTTTTTTGGTCATTGATAAAAAGTTAATAAATATTATTATTCAGGTCAAGCTTTGTTTCTGAACACATAAACACACGTCCAATTGTAGCACTCCCCGGAACGCCAACGTACAATTTGTCAAAAGAAATTTCACGAATACTGAGACATCTAGTAGATTCAGCCAAACACTCCATCAAATCCCCAACACAATTCCTGGACCAAATTAAGGATATTCAAATAAAAAACGACGAACTCATGATATCCTTCGACGTAACAGCACTGTTCACCTCAATTGAACCACAGTTAGCAAAAGAAACTATACCCCTGCTACTCAACAACGACACAAATCTCACCAAATACACGAAGCTTCAAATTCAAAGTCTACTGAAACTCATCGATTTATGCCTAACAACATATTTTCAATTCAACAACAAAATCTACGAACAAACGAAAGGGACACCAATGGGATCACCAATATCAGGACTGATCGCATAGACAGTGATGAAAAGACTAGAGGCCACGATATTACCAGTGACCAAGCCAAAAATTTGGATTCGCTACATAAACGACACCGTCATCGTCAAAAAGAATGAACTGGAAAACACATACAAACTGATCAACAACGTTTTCAATGACATCAAGTCCACAATGGAACAGAAGTCAAACAACCAACTAGCATTCTTGGATATATTGATCACTAGAACTGACACAGGAAAACTGGAAACTCAAGTATATAGGAAACCGACCCATACACATCAAATTCTCAACTACAACAGCAACAACCCAAGAGCTCACAAAATCAACTGCGTACACACATTGTTCAAAAGGGCGAGGACACACTGCAGCACACTGGCAGCACGACAAAATGAAGAGAAATACCTGAAGGACATATTTCAAAAGAATGGCTACCCAATCAATTTCATCAAAAAGCATCAACGGCACACAGCATCAGAACCCAAATCAAGCACAAAAATCAACAAAAGGATCACCCTACTGTACATACAAGGAATATCAGAAACCGCAACGAGACTGCTGAAAACCTTCGGGATAGGTGTGGCACACAAACCAACAAAATCACTACAATCAATCCTATGCAAACTAAAGGATGAAATAACAAAGGAAAACAAATCAAACATCATCTACAAAATAAATTGTACCAACTGCGAAAAACACTACATCGAACAAAGCGGACGCCACCTTCGCCTACATGAACATCAGTTAGCAGTCAAACGCCATGATATCTCTTTACTTATATCAATACACGTGGATAACTACAGACACTCATTCGATTGGAAAATGTATAAATTTTAGACAGGAAACTCCAAAAACACCAGAGAATTTTTAGAAGCCTGGCACTCAGGTCAATCAGCAATCAACAAACATATTGAAATCAATCCAATTTCCCAACCAATCAGAAAAATCATGCACAAATATAGGAACAAAAATCAAATCAATGGGAGACACAACCAAAACAAAGAAGTAAACAATGACAAATTTAAGGTCAATAAGAACCAATCAACATCGAGGTGCACAGAACAAGCTGTGAAACACATATGGAGAAATTCGAACACTTCACTTCTATCTGAAGTTTGTGCTGATGATGTCGTTCAGAAGAACGATGAAAGCTCCACGACCAAACCATCCAGCTCAGAGAACAAAAATTCCACCAAAAACATATAAACACAACTTGTTCACTAGGCATGGTATGTGCATAAAGCATACATTTATGCCAAATTGAAAGTTGTAACTGCCAATTGTGCATTCATCAATTTATGTCATCTATACCTGCATTTGATGTGATATAGTTTTAAGTATTCAATTTTCATCTATGTCTATGACATTTTATCAATTTGATCTGAAAATATTGATGACACTTAGTGAGGATTCTTGAGTTGAGGTCATGAAGTTGTATTTTTTGTGAAGCTGGATGTTTATAGACATAAAGGTCTTGTGTCACACAGACTTATACATCTCGTTTAATGTGATGCTTTGAATATGTTTGATGAGCTTTCTACTAAACAGTCTTTTGTAAAACCTATTGTTAATTTCTGCCTTGAAATAAGCTTCTTGAATCGATGAGAACAAAGACGAAAACCTCAAATATGGTTGGTAATACTTCAAAATAGTTTAAACATTATCACCATTTTGCATAGTTTATTAATTTCAAATAGGCAGAAAAAGAATGATTGTTTACTTTGTAAAATTCCACGCCAATCTTGATTGACTCGTATCGGTGAGACTATAATTTATGGACGACCTTTGAGAGACGCTAAAGTGACTCTTAGAATGTTCACCTATTTATTAGTGCTAAGTGAGGGTTATAAAACAGTGTGAAGAATAAGGATCATGATTTAAAATTGATGGTTAGAGTTAAAAATAAGATGGTTTTCATCATGAATTGACATTAGCTAAAATACCAAAACGTTATTTGGACAAATGGTGAATGAATTTTGCGCTAAAATCCAAGACCCGTTATCTTAAATTTGATTGGTTCGTCTATAAATTATAGTCTCGCCCTGTTTATTGTTTTTATAACGGCTATTTATTTTGTATCTACTTTTTCTTAGATAACTCGAGATCTTAATGGTTTGCTTAGCATATTATCCTTAGCTAAAAATCATTTATTATCGAAATTGTTTATGACTACACGGCTAAAACGTATGTGGCCTGATTGGTTAGCAGGAATTCAACATTATATAAATGGAATTAATTTTTCACAAGCTGATTATTCATCACTGGATCAGTGTAAATTTTGTTCGCCTGATGATATAGCTTGTGCAGATATTTGTCAGTCTACCAAACTAATAGGTCAGCCGTTTTTATTTGGAAGACCGAAGCTCAATGTAAGTGTGCTTTTTATGCAGTTATTGCAATACTTCTATAAATGGATTGTTTTATTGAACGATTTTCTCTCCTACTTTATAAGTGTATCAAAGAAAAGAAGCTGGTCGTTCCTCTTTCCATATGAAAGACTGATTTGATTTTATTGTGTTAGGTTTATCCAATAAACAAGTAATATCCTCCTTTCTTTCGTAGACAAACGTCCTGACCGTAGCTTCTGCCTTGGCGTGATGGTCGGGCTTGCCCATCGTGATGACCCAATTGAGCTATATTGGCTGGAACATATGTTTCTGTAGGTTCTTCCATGTCAGACAGGTCAATTGGAGAACGGTAAGACTAGAAGTAGCCACTCAAAGTCTGAGGGCGAAGTCTTACTGCTGACTGTAGAGGGGTGTGATAGCAGTAATGTGTTTCCCTTTGACAACCATCATCTGCAACGATGCTGTGTTTTCACAAGGAAGGAAGGAGTTAGTAAAGGTTGACCCCGAAAATGTCACGCCTCACGGATTTCCGTCTCCGGCGGTAAGGCCCTTTGAAGAACGGAGCTAACACATTAAAAACCTTCCACGAAAAGGCCGTGCGCGACCGACCTCAAGCAGTCGTCTCTTGGGCTCTGCGGTCACGCTTCCAGGTCGTTAAGACCAACACTAATCAGATCTCCTTTTCAGGTTCCTCAAGAAATACCCTTCCACGATGTGGGCAGCCGGGAAGTGACACCAGCCCTCATACCCGTTACAGCACACGAGACCAGGTTGGTCACATTCAAATCTTTCCTACACCTCCTAATAATTCTCTTATCTCCATGACTAACCCTCCTCACGTCTCTTTATTACCTCACACCGCTAGGGCGAACGATTTGAGTACATGGAACGCTATTCCTGGTCTCCTGAAACCACGCTCTAAACTACACGTAGGAGCTTTTAACGTCCGAACACTGTGCCAAATAGGACAACAGGCTTCCTTAGCTAAAACTTTAGAATCCCGCACCATCGATGTGTGCTGCGTCTCCGAAACGCGCATACAGGATCCGATTAACGTCACTCATTTGATCTCACGATGTCAAAACAAAGAACCAACTCGATTCACACTTCGTGTATCTGGAAGCCCTGATTCTGCTTCTCGTGGACTCGCCGGCGTAGGTATAACATTCAGTTCTAGGGCAGAACTGGCTCTCTTAGACTGGATCCCAGTAGACAGTCGGTTGTGCGCTGTCCGACTAAACGGAACAATAAGGACTCGGAAAGATAGGGACATTCGTCGTTGCCTCTTCGTTGTCTCTGCCTATTCGCCCACTGACTGCAGCTCAGATGATGTAAAATATGAGTGTCGTGGTTCAAAGGACAGATAATGGTGATCGTCTGTTGCAGCTATGCTCAGATAACCGCCTGTTTCTAACAAATACTAACTTCAAGCATAGGGAAAGACATCTTTTGACATGATGACCCTCTAATTCGTGGTGGGTAGCGAAAGCAAGAGAGATGGAGAAGGCAGCGGCAATGGGTAGTAGCAGACAATTGTTCAGACTCGATATGGAATCCGTTATTAGGAACCCGATTGTTAGCGAAACACTCTCAGAGAAAGATGGACATATTATGCATTCTCAATCCAGGAGATTGGATCGATGGGCAGAACACTTTAGGGATCTTTTAAACTGGCCTTCAGCCACACTTCGGTTTCCCATGATCTCCAGTCGACCTGAATGGCAATTTGATGTAAGTCTATTCAAACACAAACATTGGTAGAAGGAGGCACCAAATATATTACGCCACACTTCCTCATTCGATTTGTGTAAGGGCTGGAGTACTGCACTAGCACTCTAACCAAAACAGGTAGTTTTCCTAGGGAACCACACTCCGAGCCTTTGACCTAAAGGTCTAATTCACAAGGCAAAGAGCAACGTTAAGGGGTGCAGTCCCATGGTAGCCAGTGACCAACAATAGGTTCACACGCCATTTGTTCCCTAAGGATTCTAGAGCCCATGTGCACCATTGGTTTGAAATCAAGGTTTTCCAACTCCCCTAGGTGGATTCTCCGTGTCCACTAACCCGGTTGACCTGCTGGATATTCGCTTTTACACATCTCAATTTTGTAAACAATACCCCCTCCGCGAGAAGGCAGTGAATAGGACTTACCTGACAGTGGCTGTATACGCAAGGTCATGCGGGAACATTTCAAGAGGGCGAATGGAATCTGCCCACCCTCGATCGTACCAGGGCATTCGATGGCCAGTTGTAGACAAAGTAGAGCCTGGTACATAAGTGCATCGGCTCAAGGCATCACACCACCACACTGATGCCATAGTAGTAAACGTGGTAACAGTATTAGTGGTGATAGGAAATGTTAGGCATAGAATATATGAATTTAGAAAATACAGATTCGTGAGACAGAAAAACATTTTAAAATAATTTACAAACTTAAGATTTAAATGAGCGAAAGAAATGAGTGCACATGTTCCAGTGGGGACGTTTCCATGTTATTTAATCCAAGATTTCTAACCAATGGTTGAGATAACCATGCGAACCTCAACTGGAGATTCCGAACCTACCTATGCAGCTCAGTCCAACCTCCATCGACTTCATGGACTGATATCAAGTTTTGGTTTGGTCAATCCTACCTTACACCAACCCGCTCGTTACGAGTCAATCTTTCCTTATGTCAGACAATCTACAAAGTGTGACGGAAGACAATAGTTTGGAAGCGATTTGAATTAGACTTATCCCCTGATAATTGTTGCTGAAACGACATGAACGCGTTTTAAATATAGGGACATCTATCGACTCAGTTCAATATTTTGGATCGCTCTCTAATTACCATACCTTTGTAAATAACTCGGTCAGTTCCTTAACCACAAAGTCACCATCATCTCTAAAAAGGGCCGGAGGTAAGTCATTTGGTTTCAGTGATTTGTAGCGCTTCAAAATTCGTAGTTTTCCGTGGACATCCTCCTCGTTAGGTGGATCAGTCGTCACAGGTCGTGAAAGGTAGTACAGTCCGACTGATGTTGCCGGGGTAGCAGACCTATCGAACTGCTCTTCGAAAAACTTTGCCTATCGTCCACGACGCTGATAGATTTTAGTGATTGGCATCCCTTCATTTTCACGGATCGTTTCGCTCATACCAGACCCCTTACCGCCAGTGGCCCGTATAAGTTGAAAGAGCTTCTGGCATTTGAAAGGTTCAGCTGCTGCTTCCACGCTTCCACCACCAGGCTTATCCGCCCGTACGTTGGCTGTGTCCAATTCCATTGCGCAACAGTCGTCGTTTGTGATCAAAATCACGGTCACTCGGAGTAGGTCGACAGGCTTCAAGGAGTTGTAAAAAGCCCGAAGAAACCCAGTGCCTATCAGCGGGACGTTTCGCGTAGTCACAAGTGACTTCACTTACCATTTTCCTGGCGTAATGCAATTGCAACCAATGCTCATCTATACTTTTCGGTTGGTCGGTAGCTAGCCTTGAACCTAGCTCGGTTCGATATTTAGTCGCAACAGGAGCTGCAACCAATTTACTGACATCGATCCGTTTGGGACGATGTATTTGTTGGCCACGAAAAAGTAAGGTAAGATTAGCGCAAACAAGGGCATGATCAGAGTCGAGATAGATACTCCAAAAGGAGCGGCGGTCTTCTAAACTACCACGCTAGCGGTAGATTGTCGCGATGTGATCGATCTGAGTTCATCCTTGTGATGCAAAGAGAGGACTCTAGGTGGCACATCGGCAATCGCTGTGCCGATAGTTAGTGCTAGCCAGAAACAAGTTTTATTCTGCGCACAGTTTCAGTAGACGGTCACCGTTATCTGACCTGCGACCAACAAGTCCCCATAGGCCACCCAAACGACTTTCTCTCTGTATTTATATAGCTCATGTGGTTATCTATGTTTTGTGTTATATTTATTTTCAAATATGCATGAATAAATGAACAAATCTCACCTATAAATATATATTTATCTTTCGATTCACTTAATATCATTTGCGTTTATTTTAATTAGATTCTACTTTACATGGGATTTTTGTCGAATGATTTTTATAAGAATTCTTTCGAATCATATATCTCTAAAGGTAACTACTTATATTTGTTATTATTCTTTAGAAAGAAATATTTGTAATTTTCAGATCAATGAAAATGTGATTAATTGATTTGTTATTCGGTTATTGCATTTCGTACATGATTTCTACCTATCTTAACATCCACTTATCGAAGTTAATCCACACATCTCATGAATGACGTGAATAGGGAACAACTAATGTGTGATTTCAAGAAAAAAAGTTTTTCAAATCTTTCGGTAATTAATAAAACCGACTCCTTTTAAGAAATTTAAAGCACTTAGTCCCTTTGATAAATTTCGATAATGTAATAAGATTATCAGAACTATGTGTATTCAAAGACAGTTTTTTGTCACCTTAAAGCTACCCTGGTAATGTTGACTTATTATCCTTGTCTCCACTTACCTCATTTCTAGTCTAGTTGACCTTTTATTTTTATATATAAATGTTCTTAACAAGTATATGAGTGATCAGATTGTTCGAAATGTATTGCGCTAATATATCACATCGTTCTGATAATCTTCGTCTTCTTATTACACTATCGAAAACCGACTCCATTGATTCACCGGTTAGAGAAAATCATCAAGTTTTTCTCAATGTTAATTTCATATCTAATTACTCATGACAATAGTTTATTTGTAGATTAAATCTATTCCATTTGTAATATCAACCAAGAGATTTTGTATTTCTATATTTTCAAAAATAATAACGAACATAAGTGATTATATTTATATATGTATATCATTTAAATTCGATGTCTACACTTACTAAAAGAGAAAAATTTATTCACATTTCCTTATCCATTTTAATACAATTCCAGGTGGTCCCCTTGGTGAACTTGTTCAATGGACTGATCTCATAGGTGCCCTCTATATTCTTGGACACAACATAACAATTACTTTTGAAGCTGCTGAAGCAAAATTGTAAGATTATGTTTTCTGAAAGTGAAGTTATTTTGTTTAATACAGTGAATGTGTCTGTACACGCGCAATTTCACAGTACTCTTAGATTTATCTTACACATTTCTAAATTTGTTATATAACATATAGTCGTGCTGATAATAACAATAATAGCTTATTTTAACACCATTTGTTTAATTAAAATGAAGCTTATTCAACAATAGTTTTCCGTCCTTTTTTTACATAAAACTTGGTAATATTCAGAAAAGTTATTAAAATGTTTTTTTGTCATCAATGATTAGCTTCTATTAATCCTTATCTACTAACATTTTTCATTAGTTTTACTCCTTTGACATACCTTTTTCATCGTATAACTTACTTAACTAGCAATTTCGACTAATGTTTCTTTGAAGGATAGACGTAAAGGAGGATACATTAGTCACTGTTGTTGTTCCACTTGTAATTATGAAGTGATTAAGCTTCGTGTGAAGTTATAAGCATTATTAAGAAGATGTGTATATTTGCATTTAACATACACAATAAGTCAATTGACGTAATGATTAATTAGTGTGATATATTCATAGTTGACAAACTTATAGTCATGGAGTTTAAGCAGTTCATCATTATTTAATAGTCTATGTTCATCAACTTGATCAGCACAATGAACTGAAATCTCTTTATACATTTTATAATACTGCGTTTGGTAGGTAATGCAAGTTATCATTTATAGACAATAAATTTCATTACGATAAGCTTTTCAGATTATTTTTTAAATTTTGGAAGACTGTTGAACCTGATATAAGTAAATTATATATATATATATATATATATATAACTGATATATTGCTGGTTTTAACTTTGAAAATTTGCATCTATCGTTTTTGACGATATAGCTGCATACTAGATGGTATGACATTACGGTAAAATCATGCTTAAGATCATTTCCTTTTAAATTTATGATACGACATGGTGAACCTCATTGCCTCCAGGCCATGTACATTTCATGAGATAAACAATAACCTACATTGAAAGTTATGAAAATTCTGCGTTAACTGATATATTGAATAATCAGTTTTTATTTTTCAAAATCTGTGTAATTGATTGAAGAATGCATTAGGCATACAAACGTTATCAATTAATCATAATCATTATATAGCCTGACACAAATGTGCATTACTATTAGTTGTCATACCAGATTAACGTGACGAGATGAAATTAACAACATAATTCGTAGATAAGTCGAAATAATGAATTGAGAATGGCAATTAAAGAAACTAGATATTCAGAACATGGTTCAAAAAGATAATAAAAAGTATCTATGGTAGAATACTGAAACTTAAAATCTGGGGAAAAATAAAAGGTGAATGCATCTGCGTCATCTTAATTAACTCTGAGCCAAGATACCCATCGTCTCCAACTACTGATCATGGTTAACTCACAGACTCGAAACAGGTAGTCTGTGTCTACCATCATGACTCGGTTAAACATTCAATGATTTCATGGATTGATTCCCTGTCTTGGTTTGGCTGCACTTAGGTTTCTTCCAACGTAGTACTTCACCAGCTGGCATTGTTTTTCTAAGCAGAAATGGTTCAATATACACAAAATATGTACCAGCCATCTCTGTTGATTAAGATTCATTACCTCGCCAACCGATTTACTATCTCTACTTGGTACTATGCATCTAGACTCTATATTTCTGGCTTCGTTTTCCTGCGGTGCGGCGGCAATGCTATGAAGACGCTTGCTATCAAAAGCCTGCAACCTATAGGTGTCTTCTATTTCATAGATGATGTTCTACACCCATTTGGTAATAGAGTCAATCTCTGGCCAGTACACTAGCAATTCAGTTAACAGATGGAAATATCGATTATGTCACAAGAAACATAAGTCGCCAAATACCAACCGAGCTTCCATCAGAAATCAACTCACTCGAGGTGACGTGACTCCCTAGAAAAAGGAAGTGGTCAACTCGTAAAGTTACTTCGCTTCCTATTATCAATCTTAGAGTTAACATAAACCATTCCTAAAGCAATATTTCGCACTTAGAGGAAGAGAAATTCAGACACACATTCGCTACATCGTAATCTGACTGAAATCTTAAAAATGCCTATTAGTTCCCCCCCCATTCAGTGAATTTTCTATCCACATTGATTTATGTTTGTTAGGAACCCATATTAATTAATTTCTCTCTACTTGTTTTTGTTTATTTTCCCAATTAAAATTAATAGGAAATTGTTACATCCCTACTCAAATTCCGTACCTTGTCAGGTAGAAAATAATAAATACGATTTAATATACACGGATATTATAGGATTTAGAAATTTGAAAAGAATGAACATCCGGTTAGTTTATAAATTTACATTTAATGAAAAATATTGCATAACTTAAATTAAATTTCACCATTTTGTACATACTTTATGAAATAAATTGAAGTACATTTCACTTATTTTCTATCCTGTTAAATAAATGAAATTGTTTCAATGTCCCTAGATGAAGTTTTATGCGTAACTTCTGTGTTACAGTTTATTATACTGTCATGTACTACAGTTAAACTATTCTATATATTTTTCTATTGACAATCAGCTCTTCATCTCAATAACAATGATGCTATCTTATATTTGTCATGTGAAAATGTTAATTTCTAACTAAATCAATAAAACCCTCTTAATCAACTTTATTTTATACAATTTTTATCTTGTATTATTTCTATGTACTTCTTGTTTTAAAATGCACGGAATAATAATAATATCAATAGTCATTGAGAACAAGAAACAATCTAATTAGTAATCAGTATTCATCTTATTTATGAGTTATCACCTTGAGTTTGAAGTAGAAAAATTATCAACAACTTTCATTACTGAAAATGAAGTATTTTTATTATGTAAGAACAATGATTCTAGCAGAATAGTGTGAATTCATTTTAGTTCGTTTGGTTACCTGTATGAGAGACTTTAGTTGGAAGTTATTTTGAAAACACATCAGTACAGTATAGAAAGGGTGTAAATAAATTCAATAGATTGAATATTGTAAATATATACTTATTTACGCCTGTTACTCTTCGTAAACGAGCATAGGCCGCTCACCAGCATTCTCCATTCAACCCTGTACTGGGCAATTCTTCCCAGCTCTTTCCAGTTGTTATTCATCCTTTTCATATCTGCTTCTATTTCCCGACGTAATGTGTACTTTGGCCTTCCTCTTTTCCGCTTCCCTTCAGGATTCCAAGTTAGGGCAGTTTGATGATTTCCTCAATGTATGTCCTATCCAATTCCATCATCTTTTCCTAATTTCCTCTTCATCTGGAAGCTGGTTTGTTCTCTCCCACAGTAGTCTGTTGCTGATGGTATCCGGCCAATGGATGTTGAGTATCTTGCGTAGACAACTATTTATAAATACTTGTACTTTCTTGATGATGGTTTTTATAGTTCTCCAAGTTTCAGCTCCGTACAGTAGAACTGCCTTGACGTTGGTATTGAAGATTCTGACTTTGATATTGATTGTAAGTTGTTTTAAGTTCCATATATTCTTTAACTGAAGGAATGCGGCCCTCGCTTTGCTAATCCTCGCCCTTACGTCCTTGTTCATCGATGATGCTTCCCAGGTATGTGAAGGATTCTACATCTTCCAGAGTTTCGCACTTCTGAGGAGTCTGACAATAAGACGAAACGGCCGTCTAGTGCTTCCAGGTTTTCCATTGACTCATGATTTCAACAATTGAAATTACTAAAATCTCCGCAAAACTCCCTTCTGATATTAAAATGAGAATCATCAAATACATAATTGTATTGCTAAAAATGACATCAATTTCCGTCAATATAACGATGCATTTGAAATAAACATGTTGAATGAAGAATGGGTCCAATTTCTTGTTAACAAATATTTGCCAAGTAATTGCTAGTTGAATACCATCCTTTCGGTTCAGGCTATTCTTGTTCGCCCAAATATACAGCGTTTCTGCTGTCAATCTTTCTTTATGAGTATTAAAACTGTTCTGAAGTATTTTAATCCCTTTAAAATTAACCTTGTGTCTTGTTTCCAACGTATCTCGGACTTATTCTCAAGTTTCTTTAGGTCGACTGAGGATTTGGGAACATTTTCAAACAGTTTGTTTTCCTTCAACGTTACATTCAATTGTCTAGAAGTTTCTCCCCCATAACCTGCATTACAATCATGACAGTTGGTCTCATAAACAATATTTTGTTGTTCTTTCTTTGGGAACCTATCCTTAACTTTCACTAACGTCGATCTTATGGTGTCACAAGCCTGAAAATACACTCTTATATCATGCTTGTTTAGAATCCTCTTGATTTCTTCCGATGTTCCACTATGGTATGGGATGACTATGGTGAACTTCCAATCTTTCGGTATACATTCTAGTTTAATTTTTCTTTCATTTCTAATAATCTTTATAAACTTTGGGGTGGTTGTTATCCTTAAGTGTAGACAAAACTCTTCAATTCAACCTGCTGGTCTTCCTTATCTGTGTAATGTAACATCAGAAGAAATCAAGAGGATTTTAAACAAGCTTGATATAAGGGTGTATTTTCGGGCTTCAGATGTTGTACATGTTTGATGATGATTGGCATGTATAATCATGTATATTTATTTTTGTAAGTTAGTTGATTTTTTTCATCGTTTTCCTCTTCTCTTTCTTCTATGATTTACTTATCGTTGTTTTAAGGAGTAGTTAAAAGTGAATTTCGAAAATCAATTTTAGTTCTATCGGTGACTATTTAGGTATGTTTGTATGTGGTTATATTTTAATCTGTTTTCGCTTTCGTTATGACATAAAATGGACATGATCGTTTAAACTACTTGATTAATTTAGCCAACTCTGATTAAATGAGTCTTATTTGTTACTAAAACTAACTATTTCCTGTTGTCTATATTTTCGGTACTTAAGTGATATGTTTTGATCGGGGTTCTCTTGCACTGGTGATGCTTTTGCATTTCGAGTGGTCTTATCTACAGTTTATTCGGTAATGACTAGCAATACATTTCACATTAGAATAAAGAATGATCACTGAAGGACAGAGTAATTTGTTTAATGATTTTCTGGTGGATGTAAATTGAAGATAAGAGCCATTTTCAACTGTCAGTTTGCTTGTTATTTTACAGTTTATGAAACCACTGACCCTATTAGGTTTATCAAACTTTTATATACAATAAATGCGTAATAAAAATCCATTTTTTATTGTGTTTTCTCCAAATTAAGGACTCCATTATGTAAATTTCGTATATTGGATACATTTGGAACAGAAGCTCTTTATAACCGTAAAAAAGAACTTTGGAGTGGATTACATTTGAATTTACAGCAATTCTATACATTTTTACGTAAGTTATCCATTGTTTCACATTTTAGTGGAATTTTGTTCTTTGAGTTGGATGGTTTAGTCACGAGCAAAGACATTCAGACAACAAAGATGGGTTAGATAGAATCAAAATAATGATTTTGGAGAACTGAAGATTTTGAAGTCCCTTCTTCAGAATATACCAATCAATTTGAACAGTACTCTTAATTATGACCATATTCATTAGTTTTCCTTCGGTTCTTTTATTATAATTTGATCTTAATTCAAGCTCGATTTCATTCACTACATATTTCTGCTATAATATGTTATTTCAGCCTACACATTCTCAACATTGATTGAGTGTTATTACTGTTTGGAAATTCATTTAAATGATTTGTACATTTTTGTAGTTGTTATTGTTTCCTTGTTTTGATACTTCTAGCTCATTCACCGGATAATACATTTTTGGGTTTTGTTGCTGAAATACTCCCACCCAAATCTAAATTCTCTCATCAATCATCATCTAAACCTGTTGCTCTTGTTTACGGAAAAGAGGCTTACATGTGGTCTGTAAGTTTCCTTACATACTATAATTAACCAATAAATTATGTTTGGGGTAGTCAAGTTGTTGAGTTTTTAGATGTGAATTTCTTCCATTGTAATTATAATTCAATTAAAATCATCCATTATACATGAACAATGCTTCAAAGACACCTGTGGTCAAATTACCTGTAATTTGTTTTAGGGATTTAACCAGATATATGAAAAAGTCAAAGAGATATTAAACTCAAGCAGGATGATTTTGGTGAAAATACGTTTTCGAACTAGGCAGTTTTATCATAAAGCTTTCATTATCTACCTTGACTATACATCAATAACAAAATATCCCTATAGAAATGAGCTATTCGAATTTACCCACACATAATCAAAAGCTTGTTTCGTTAACATTCAGTTTGATTGGTTGTTGTCATCAATTGTCCTGTAATTGTCTGCATGTGTATACATATGTCGATTGTGCTACATTTTGACCTAGTTTTCAACTCTATATCTGATCGATCAAATTAATTTTGGTGGCTTGTAAGCTTAATCTGTTTCAAACAATCTCAATTAACTAATTGAGAATTCAACATGTCCTTCGTATATGGATTATTCGTTTGTTGGTATCCATATTTTATTTCGTGCTTTTTGATGAGTTTGATATATGGATAGTCGTTCTTTAGAAAAACCATCACTAGGTATTCTTCTTCAATTCTATATGTGGTAGACGGATGTTACATTGTTTTCGTTCTTTTGAAATAACATTTGTAAGAAGTTGGTCTTTGATAAAAGGAATAAAAAGACCAGATAATTTTTAGAAGTTTGGTTTTCAGATCAGTCAGCACCTAATAAAACATAACGAAATCGACTTCATTTATCAACCAATTAAAAAAAAATCATAAATCACTATAAGGCCAAAAACTAGGTCAACATATGCCAAGATATCCCACCCCCGTCTCCGAATTTGCTGTTTGAAGCGATTACGAGTTCACCTAATCTGAGAACGGAACGAAGACTGTGACACTACGACAGATAAGCTAGCTATTTCGAAGCGTCCAAGCTCCACTAACTAGAGAGAGAGAAGTCCAAGTTCGGGATAGGTAAATATATTCCACAAGCAGTCAGAAGCACGAACAACCACGACGAGTCTAGTCGGAATCACACTCATATACTGATTCATGCACTCATTTTTGATTAATAATTAGAACAAAATCACATATAAAAAATAGTTATAACAAATCATATGCTGAGTATAGTTCATGTTAACTTAATACAAGAATATCATATGTTATACAGAGTAAAATGTCATACGGGGGAAATCAGTAACAAATACTATACTGAGTAATCATCACATTGAATTAAAACAGAATTAATGTTGAATAAAAAACTAGGTCAACATACGCAGACAACGATAGGACAATTGATGACAACAACCAATCAAATTGAATGTTGGCGAAACAAGCTGTTGATTATGTGTGGTCAAATGCGAATAGCTCACTTCTCTCGGAATATTTTGCTAATGATGTGTTGTCTAAAGAGATAACGAAGGCTTTACTGTTAAATTATCTATCACACTCTATTGAAATTCGTAAGCTAAGTCGTCTAATAAACCTAGAGATTAGACGTCTCAACTCTATGTTTACTCAAAAACTCCTATCTTGTAAACACTCTCCAAGTATGTGGGAACTCTTTAAAGAATTTACAGGTGACAGGCACATTAGAAGCGATAACCAGTTTAATGTTTGTGACTTAAATAAGTCTTTTATACGTCAGTCATCTGATTTCATGCTCCCTATATCCACACGTTTGAAGAATAGTTGTGTTTCTGGTTTTACTGAAACTGATGTCCGGAAATGTCTCCAGTCACTTAATTCATCCCAATGCTTAGGACCTGATGGTATCCCAAACCTTCTTTTTAAAACATTTGCTGATGTCCTATTTTATCCATTCACGAGTATCCTTCTCAACTAATCTCACACCGAAAGTGTGGAGAAAGATAAAGATAATCCCTATGCTTAAGAAAGTATCTAGTGATAAGAGTATGAAATTTAGACCCATAGCAATAACTTCACCTTTCCTCAAAACGATGGAAAAATTGTTGATACTCCCACTTCAACCTGCAATAAAAGAGCTCATCGATCCGTATCAGTTTACTTACAAATGCAAAAGAGGCACCTTAGATGCTGTTGTTGTTTTTGCATCACAATATAGTGTTCAGCTTGGAAAAAGGTAAATAGTATGTTCGATGCACTTTTCTGGACTATACTTCTGCTTTTAATTCTATATCAAGACAACGTTTAATTAACAAGTTAATCAGCATCAACACTGACAGCTGGATAGCCAATGGGCTACGTTCCTACCTCTCTGGAAGAGAACAGTACATAGTGTTTGAAGGAGAGTGTTCAACATCTCTCCTGTCTCATGAAGATGTGCCACAAGGACCCGTTCTTTCACCACTTCTTTTCTCTTTTCTTTTGCATGATCAAAATTGTCGAAAGATCAAGTTACGCAGTAGTATTAAAGATTATAAGAAATAGTTATTTATATAAAAAATTTAAAAGGTAGCTATCTACTTTATGGAGAAGATAACGAACAAGATTGTAATTGGCACTTACGATTTGTAAAAATTAGACGGTGTGATAAAACCATGAATAACTAACAAAAGTGAACATGACTCTTTTGTATATAGTGATCAGATTTGAACTAATAAATTAATATAGCTTCAGTTGTACACAAATTCTTGACCCAAACTTTATTCCAGCCAATTTTTTTCGTGGATAATCTTGAATGATGATTCTCGCGGGACATAACCAGAATCGACTGTCCATTCAAGGATTGAATTATTGATTGATTTCCATTCCTTTTTAGATACAGTCATGCAGGATTGTGCCCGGATATTCGTTTAGTAGGTTTGCGATTTATGCGGCCAATATGACCTGCTTCGCAAGATCAAGTAAATTGATAAATGTACATCAATTTGGCCCAACCCGGCAGTTTATTCTTAACATTTCCCTAAATCAGGTTCTTACAAGTAAAAAACAATTAGTAGTCCACCAGAATAAAAGATCTATCTCAAAGATAATTTAAAACGGAGCGTTGTAAGCTTTGAAACTAACTGATCGGTTTACGTAGATCATTAACGACTATTAGAGATGTCGTTTTTAACCATTATCGGCATATTTCTTATGTTATAAATTTTTTTCTACCGAGACCAATTTGATCCATTTTACATTTTCAATCCTTGTTCACCTCCGTTTAATTTTTTTTACTGTATGATTCTTGTGTATTTCTTCCATATCTTTGGTATTACATCTGACTTGGCAATCAGTTATTTCAAGAGTTGATTTGAGCTAGGTGTAAGTTTTGAAAAGCTTCAATAACATAAATACCCAAACTCTACTATGGGCTAAAACTAAATGCATATATCTATCCATTTCGATAAAATCCAGTAACACTAGATTGTGAAGTAACTATTGTTGTTATATCATCATTTGGTCAAAATAATCTTACTGATTTAATTAATTATTCAACATTCACATTCAGATACTTAACATAATTAGTATTGCACTATCAACAGATCAGTTGTATTTTGCGCGTTGTTTAGTAGTAATAACCCACCGAAATCTGTGTTCATTGTTTTCTTTCATTGCAAATAAAATATGAATGTTCAACTGTGTTTTATTTGACTCTACTACATTTGTTATATTCAATAATTGTTATTTATTGTGTCTCTCATTAATTTACTCATCTTTGTGTACATCATCAAATTATTTTTTCTCTTAAGAATCGAACAAATTATTTGAGAATTTTATCTGATTACTTTGAATTACATGGAAATGTGATGGATAACGCTGATAACTTGCCAAAATTTGTGCATATACATCAAATGCAATATGGTGAACCATATTTAGAGTTAATGTCGAAAGCTCAAGTAAGTTTGTATGTAATTGCATTCATGTTGAATTGTCCTGTTGAAAAGGTTAGGTTTTTTCATTGTATCATAACTGGACTTATTAAGAAACTATTTGATAATCTGACTCACAGAAGTGCGAAATATTAAATAGTGTTCAGGATTATGATGATAGAGTTTAACGTACTAATGACCACAAAGCTGACGAACTGGCATTGCATCGTAAATAGTCACTAGCATTGTTTGTTTCTCAAGATATCAGTGAAATATTAGCAGCGAACTCTGTGTTTGATGCATACTAATTCTATCTCATAGGTATTCACTTGATGAACAGAGTGAAGATGATTTTAATGACAATACTATACCACTAGAGAATTAAGTCAAGCGACAGTTGATCTTAGTTATGCTCACAGGTTTCTGCCCCTCTGTACATTCTCCAATTATCTGTTCAGTGTCACCTATCATTTCTCCGATTGTGAATATTATTTATTAACTGGCACAATCAGTGATTGAGACCAGTCAGATGGGATTACGTCCAGTTCCCAAATTCTACCTAAGACCTCGGTTAATCTCATTGCTAATACTGGACCACCATCCTTAAAAATCTCAGGAGTAAACCTGTCAGGGCCTGCTGCTCTCCCTCGTTTCAGATTTCCTATGGCTTTTTCAACTTTATAAAGAGACGGAGGACCTACATTAACTTGCCATTCAGGTTGACTGGAGATCGTGGGAAACCGAAGTGTGGCTGAAGGCCAGTTGAACTGATCCCTGAAGTGTTCTGCCCATCGATCCAATCTCCTGGATTGAGAATGAATAATATGTCCATCTTTCTCTGAGATTGTTTCGCTAACAGTCGGGTTCCTAATTCCAGTTTCCTTAACGAGTCTAAACAATTGTCTGCTATTACCTATTGCCGCTGCCTTCTCCATCTCTCTTGCTTTCGCTACCCACCACTGTTCGCGATCATTGCGTAGACTTCTTGTCAGCTTGCGCTTAAGCTGACTTTACCAAAATAATAATAATGGATCCAATGAATTAGTGAACCGTCTGACACACGCAACACAAGGTTGTGAATAAAAGGGGAAAGAAACCAATAAAATTTAGCTGATGCACTTCAGAAACCAACACCATAGGACAGATCAATGTTAGATATACTAATCGGTCATTTGGATGAAACTGCACGGTTATACAGTTTGATTTCGAAATTTGTTGGTTTACAATCAAGTTTATGAAGGACATCAGAATAGAACATACTATATATGTTCAATCAAATCTTTAACTAATGTGGTATCCTTTAGTTGCCCTAGATCTGATTAATCGGGTCGTTTGCTGCTTGTTATTGAATTATACATGCAGCTAATCCTTGTGTATAATCATCGACCTAAATCGCGTTGGTGAATAATGGAATTAGATAAGTGAAATACGAGAAAGGATTTTTGAATCCGTATATTTCGTACAATCGCTGGTTGAAAATCAAAGCAAAACGAAATGATGCGCAATTGAGATGGCGAATAAGCCGACAAAATTTAACCATGCGTGAATCGGTATTTATAGTCACACAAAAATAAGTCACATACGCTTACATAAAAACAGTTAAGGTTGATAAGCGAGTAAGTAACAAGGTCAAAATGTGATTTAAGAGCAACGAATATATTGATCTGTCCTGTCTAGAGGCTGGAACAACCTAGATGTGCTTGACATAGGGCGAACCCCTACAATCTAATTTCAATAGTGAATATCTTGGTATCTCTCGATCTGTTTCCTTTAGTCATTCTTTTCTGTGCTCCAGAAAACCTTAGTCAATAAACATACAGTCCCATGTACTACTAAGACTCAGATGTAGAGGCGCTATGCTTTGACCTCATACTCTCTTCTCGACCAACTTGGGTAACGTTTACTCTGTTCTTTATTCCCATAACACTGCCCCTCAAATTGAACGATGGGGAAATGCGTATTAACAACTGGAGTTGGAGACAGAGGTTTCACAAATCTGACATTGCGATATGTTATGTCTCAGTGCAGTTGTAATCCGTGGTCGTCTTACAGTCAAACTATCTGTAAATGTTAGACTATATTTATCTATAGACCATCTGGGGATTCTAAAATCACAGAGATAAAGAGAATGGTCATTATCGTTGACCACTGGAACCTATATAATCAATGAAGATATAGAACCTGAAATTTCCCTTACAATTATCTTGATAACTGACTCATTAGTATGTAAGTGATCTTTGAGTGTGCCTCCCAGCATGTTGTTGTGGTCATTAATTTAGATTTTGACAGTCAAATCTTGATTGAGTTTTGATCAAGGTGTTGCTTACTTTATCACAGCCTAAAATTTATGATGGATGAAAATAGCAGATATTGATGTGATTAAGTGTATGGTATTCTTCGCTAAGTTTGTATTAAATTGTACTCTTCGATAAGACGTTAGTCACTCATAGTTGATAGTTTGTACGCATAGTATGTCACATTTTCAATTGCATCTTCCTAGTTTATTTCTTTTAGTTAATTTTGGCTATAAAGGGTGAACTAAAATTATGTTAAACATTATTATCTGACAGTTCAACGTGACCGATTTCATGTCGAACGAACTATACTTTTATGATATCATAATGATACATATTCGTGTGATGTTTTTAATTAGCGAAGATCTATTTAATTGAAATTAATTCAAGTGTAGAGTTAAGTTGTAACTTTGAAATTGTTGAGAGATGAGTTTTAATTGATTAATTGTGATGAGAGTGTATTTATTTTTGTTTGTGTAAAAACATAAACCACTATAATGTTAACTAGTGGGATATTTTCTAAAATGTATTCTAGATATTGATTGGATTGGGATTTCCTTACGAAGGTCCTGCGCCTTTAGAAGCAATCGCTAATGGTCTTATTTTTCTCAATCCTCGTTTTGATCCGCCTCATAGTAGAAGCAATCAAGCATTTTTTGCTTATAAACCTACTTCACGTTCTGTAAGTACTTATTTTAAATAGTTTTATTTGATAACGTATTATTTAATATACCGATAGGGAGGGACTAAAAAAGAAACAAATAACTTAGTTAACTAGTCATTGAGTGAGGTTGAAATTTTAAGCTTCAAATTTTAATTCATTTTGCTGTGTCTTCGGTACATATTTTACTGGAAAATTTACTGTTACTGATTGCTTCAGAACAAACCATTTAATAACTTTGTCATTTTAATTTTATGTATTTAAAAGTGTTTATAAAGAGTAGTAGTTTATCAAAGTACCGATTCTTCGCTGTCATAGACAAGGTTCTGTCTTTTGACATTCCATTTCTGAGTGAGATATAAATGCATGCGATTAACATTCACGTTTTTTGCTAATTCGTATGTTAGTTTGTTTAAACTTCCTGTATTGTTCATATCATGAATATGATGAAATTTGTCTTTTTTGCTTACCATTAGTGAACAACATCAATTAAATGTAAACAAGTTTACCAATGGTGTTGTGATATTCTCTGAGGTTTATTATGTAATCAATCGCAAAGCTTTTATTTTCATTCTGGACATCATAAGGGACCATTTCTATCTGAGATGCAAGTCTTCTCCTTTACCATTTTTTAGAACCTAATATATCTTCACTAATCAAAATAATAACATGGTTTAATATTACGGCATAATAAAAATATGTTCGTTTGCCACGATTTATTACTATTATACGACAATACGACCAGTGACTGGGATTACACTTCTGCCAGACTAGATAGTCGATTGACACACTATACACATCTTGGATCACATCATACCATTCATAAGATTCACGCCCACAAATAGAGAGTCAAAGTATAAACTAGACAATACTCCATTCAACACTCAGTAAGTTGAGTATCTGTCCCCAAATGCCCTAGTACGGTCGAGAGTGGGAAGAATAAACTTTCCCTCTCGAAATGCGCTCACATAGCCACGTGCATGCAACCACTGCCAGGGAAGTCCTATTCACTGCCTTCTCGCGGTGGGGGTGTTCACGAAATTAAGAAGACGGAAAGTGAATGTCTGGAGCTTTAACCGGGCTGATGGATATGGAGGATCCACCTAGTAAAGTTGGAAAACCCTGATTTCAAACCAATGGTACACATGGGCTCTACGGTCCTAAGAGAACAAAGGGCTTATGAACCAATCTTTGGTCACTGGCCACCATGGGACTGTATCTCCTGACGTTGCTCCACTGCCCTGTGGATTAGACCTTTAGGTCAAAGGCTCGAGGTGTTGCCCTCTAAGAAAACTGCGTTTCGGTTTGGGCACCTGGGCAGTACTCCAGCCCTCACACAAATTGAATAACTTATATGGTGCATATCTATTTGGTGCCTTCTTGTACCTATGTTTATGTGTTTAAATAAATATATAAATAAACTGCCGTCGCTCAATAACCAAACAGATCTTGTTTTCACTAGCCACACCGCAGGGTTTGACTTTAGTTCATATGTAAGAATAATAATTATGATTTAATTCATTAAGTAAGTACACGCCTATGTACTTGAATTTGAACCACATTGTTTGTGTCAGAGTTATTGATACTATTTGTAGCGGTTCGCGTCTAGCCAAAAGGTATTTTGTTTACTAGTGGAACATACAACGTAGTGTGGATGAGGAGGGCTGGAAAGGGGAAGAACAGATGGGAAAGTTATTTTACGATGCAGAAAGTGCACACAATGCATTTATTTTTACTACAAAAAACAATAGATAACAATCTGCGATAACACGAGCCTCGGTTTATGATAATCGTGGAATCGAAACTAGAAGCTGATGATTTAACCCGCCCCAAATCTTGAAGAGCGTTTGAAACAGGGTTTGAACTTATGAGTTGGTCGTTAAAAATTGGATAATTTAACCAATGATTCATCACTCCAGTTTATATTACTGACCATTACTAAACAATGTCACTGATAAAATCAATTTATATATAGGAGCAAACTATTACGTAATTTGTCTTGTTTGATGCAGAAAAAGTAATGCGTATCATTAACTTCGAATAAGCAAAGTTTGCGTTAATTTTAATTACTCCAATCTAGACTATGATATCTATGTCGTTTTATCATAAAGATTTAAGCATATCAACAGCCTACTGAATCATTCCGAAATTATGAACATTTTCATATTTATCCTATTGAAATAAAATCGTTTTTTCTGAAAGTTAATGATGATATAAGTAGTTAAATTATGGCTGCGACTATGGACGAATGTTAATTTGATCTGAATTGAAATCATGAAGCAATCAATGTCAAACCAACATTTAAAACTCGGATGGCCGTTTCGTTTCAATATGGGGCTCATCAGCAGTGCGCGTCTACAACTTCCCACCAAAGGGAATGGAACCCAGGACCTTTGGTTTTGCGGGCGAACGTTTGACCTATAAACTACTGAACCACGACATTGCGCGACCATCTTTCATTGTTTCTGATGGTTTACTACCTCACATCCAACACGGATTAGCTCCAATGGTCACGGCTTCTCATTAAAACTCCGGAAATATACTCTCGAAGCTAATCTCTATGGTTAAACTCTGACCTTAATAAAATATCAATGTTTGTGTTAATCATGAAATTATGGATTAGTTTTATCAACGATCCCAATTTATTGCCATAAAAAATAGGGTAAAATTAACAATGATAACAATGGGTAATTGCAGTTATTTACAATGCAACAAACCAAATTCAAATCGATTTGTGTTGTTTGCTATTTATGCTGAAAGGTATAAGTAGTATGTAACGGCACTTGGGAATGGAATACCTGTTGATATAAAATTGACCTGAAGAGAACGGGACGGGAAATAGAGAGCAATTGGAATAGCAACGGAATTAAAAGAATCGTGAAATATGTAAAAGACGAATGTAGGAAAATGCGCAAATAATGTATTTAATGAATGATTTTCATGTTTAAGCCACAAGTGTTATTTTGCAATAAAAATAAATTGGTTTTCCATACCTGAGTTCTCATTCACTATACCCTTTATGCTTTTTTTAATCCGTATTTGTGTATTATGCGGTAAGGAAATGACTATAATAAAGCCGGTATTAAATTGCTTATATGGTTGCAAATCGTAGAGGTAATATGTTCAATATCAGGCATTTTCGAGCTTTTTTCCATTTATTTAGTATGTGGGCGTATACACCGACGCCATTGTGATCGATTCTGAGCCATGTCACCTACAGTCTCCAACCATTGTTTACGATAGTCACACGGACCCCAACTAAGTAGTCTGCATCTACCAACATGGCTCAGACTAGAAGTTAGTGACCTCAAGGACTGATGTCACGTTTTGGTTTGGCCGTCCCTAACTTTCTTCCAACCATATCCAACACCAGTTAGCGTTGCGCGTCGTGGTAATCGGTGTCCAGACATACGTAATACGTGGCCTAACCATCTCAGTCGATGAAGATTCACAACCTCATCAACTGATTTACCATCATTCTCTAATACCCTACGTCTAACCATCATTACGTACCCGGTTATCCCAGCAGATGCGAGCAATATTTCTAAGACGTCTGTGGTCAGCTTCTCAGATAGACGTTAGTATAGTGAGGAAAATGTTGAACATCACTCTTTCAAGTATCATAAGCTAAATTCGTTTTACAAACATATTCCGGATCACCACAGTACACTAAATAACTCGCATACTTCTCCATCAGAGTTAATTATTTACATGAATATTAACCAAGAAAAATCCTCCAACCACATTTGTTTAAGGCGGTTGGATTAATCATTTGAGGTTAATTTTATTCTTTGAGACTATTATCCGTTACCAATTTGAAATTCTTCCCCACTTAATGTAGACTCGGACATAATGCAATCTCTTGATCACAGTGGGTAACATGCAAGCATGTTTGGGATATAATTTCCTTTCTTTAAATTTATGTTGCTTCAGCACTAGATTGTTCACAGAGCGAAGTAGTTAAATTTAATCACAACTTCGCTTATATTAAGAGTCTCATCATCTCTAGTGCATTGGTATGCTAAGACACCTAGATACAGATTCCAGAAGCTCTCTTGTATTTTCTGACCTTGCGTCACTTGTAGCGTTGGTAAGATGTCTCCGTGCCTAACGAAAGGTCTAGTACAATCCTTAGCAGTCGTCTCTATGTTACTCGTTAGAACTGAAATATCGTCCGTAAAAGCAAAAGACATGCATAAGCTTCAGGTGTGTTTATCATAGATATCTTAGAAGCATTTCCCGAGTATCATGAAATGTTCGAAAGACCGATGTTGTGTTTAACCATTAGGACACTAGCCAAATATAGTAAATTGATTAATGAGGTAGTGAATCTTTACCGACTGAGAGTGGTCGGAACATGTCATGTGCGCCTAACCACTACCTATCTTGAGGGGAGATGTTAGCCGGTGTTTGAGTAAATTAGGGTGGCTAAACTAAAACATAAGGTCAGTCCGTAAGATCACTTATTATTGGATTGAGCACTGTTGTTAGATGTAGGAAACCTGATTGGGGTCTGCAAAATTATCGCTATAGTGGTTGGTTGACGTGACTCAAAATCGGTCACAGTGGAAAAAATGCATTAATTCTTTGTCTTATTTTAGATGTTGAGTTTTAAAATTATCTCATTAATTCAATCTTCTTAAATCATATCGTTTATTCCTAATCTTTTCTATTACCATCAATTTAGTCACTACATCTGTTACTGTGCCCTTAATCATGATATTTGGTTACAACGGTAAATATGCTTTCGCTCTCTGTCTTCTTCTGAATCTCTTTAGTTCCAATATTTCTTCACTCATACCTATTCACTTCGTCTTTTTTGCACCATACCGTCAATGTTTGGTTTTATTGATTATTATCGTTACTGTTTTATTTCGGCTTCTTTGCCATTCATATTGTTAATTACATCTTGTCGTGTTAACATAAAATATCAACTAGAGCTAATTCACATCTGTCACAGGCTTCATGTCGATTTGGGTTAGCTGACTTTTTCCTTCTTCAAAAGTTTAAGATCATTTTATAGATAATTCATGGTTTTTGCTATGAATGACAAATTTGCTTTGCTTTTGTGTTTATTCAATTGATTATTGTGCTATAATGTTTTTACACTTCTTTCGATTATTTCAATCTTAGTAGCTTGAAACGAGATATATACATACGAAGGAGTTTATTATTGTAATCTTATTTCTATCCTTTAGAAATACGGGTTTTGTAATATACTTCTATATCCCAAATAACCTATCAGTAACAATGCATGAACTATCCTCACGTTACAATCACTTTTCTTTATTTCTGCAGCTTACCAGCCAACATCCATACATAGAAAATCATATCGGTGAACCTTACTCATATTTGGTTGATATGGACAATGAAACACAGATACGGTTAACTATCAAACGTATTCTGACCAACATTTCTGTAAGATTTCATTGTAATTTCATTTTTAAGTATTTACCCATAATTTAATGTTCACTACGATATAACAAAACTCACTTAAGGACAAGATGATATTGTAATAATAAGTACAGTAAAGATTCATTGAAAATAAAATTATATTGAATAAATCAGTTTTCAATAGTGGTCTAGCTTATATAGAATCATGAATTCAACTATTAAATGAAAATACACTTACAGTTAACAAACAAAGTTGAATATTTTTTTCTTCGTTAAAATTTATTTTACGATTCACTTTCTCTAATAGTAATAAAACACATTAGTACAGCTTTTTCTAGTTGTCATCATTACTATCAATGTTTAAAGATTTTCGATTCTTGTTAGATTAGATAACATTAGAGGAATGTTAACTATGAAGTAACACTCAATCTAATAATAAATAGATTTACATTATGCCGAAAAGAGAACTCTTCGCTGAACTCTTCTTTCTTATTTAATATTTTTGCATAGTACTAACAAAATCCACAATGTTTTCATTTAAGTTTACCACCATTGAGTGCTAACATAAATTGTAGGCGTTTTATAATAACCTATGACTATTTGCTATTACTGATGATCATTATATACTTGATAGAAACTTAAAAGAGAATTTTTAATTGTAATTATCGCGCAATTGGAAAACAATTTGTCCAAATGTTAAATAGGCTACCAAAGCTAATGTCTGTTACATTAGAAGTTTGTGATTTATATATGATTAGTATTATTATCAAGGTACAATACACTACAGTTGACATTTTCTATCATTTCGAATCAAATTTAGACATTTTCGCTAAATTGCCCGTGAGAATAAGAAGCTTGCATAAGTCAAGGAGAACAATGAGCATATTTTTAAGATAGAATTGATTAACATGTGTTCGTCAACGTTTAATGAATTATTTTTGAGTAGTATTTACTAATGGGATACAGTATAAAAGATATTTTGATAAGTCAGCAGAATATGATTCTCATGTTGATCACTACAAACATGAAATTTTCTGTTATTATATAAGGATGTCTACTGTTCATTGGATCATAATAACTATTTGAACATTTTGTATTGCTTCTTACTTCCTATATATTTTCTTTATTTAGTCTAGTGTCCGATTCTTTCTATGATTACGAGCCCAACTCGTTGTTTGAGTGATAAGACTGAGTATGAAGCAAGTTCTTCATTGATCCACCAGAATGATGAGTAACTGCATATATGTATATAGTCCCTTAGAAACTGAAGCCACATTTTTCCACCAATGGCACCTGTCCGATTCGTTGGAAAGTGACGTTAAATCTTGACCAATAGCGTAAACCTATTGTTTAGCGAATACCCGATTGCTTCACTGAGTCAACTTTTAATATTCCAAATAACGACAGTCAAGAAATAGTGTATCGACTTCAGTTTAAAGGTTGAGTTTAACTTAAAAGAATAACTGTTGATTAAAAATCCTAATAACCTGAGAAGATATTATCGTATACCTTACCATAAAATAGTGAAATCCTCTGGATCCAAAACATATAAACCTTTTATGCTTTAAAATAAATACGCTATATAAATATATCAGCCTTTAATAATCGGTTATAGAGATGAAATGGATCTAAGAGTTTTCATCCTTAATTTATGCATCCCAACTGAGTGTTTAATTAGTATTTGTTAATTTTAGAACGGAACCTATCGTCCTCACGAATTTACTCCATGGGGTTTTCTCGAACGTCTTAATGCTTATTTGTCACGACAAAATATCTGCGCTGCACCTTTTTACAAAAACTTGATCCAGTCTCCATTGCCGATAGCAAAAGCTGATGCGCCTCCTAAATTTAACTACCTAGATGTCCCTAGCACTACTGTTTCATGGCCTCCAGCATCAAGTTTAAAGATAGTTTTGGGATCTCGTGGCAAATCTTGTGTAGATGTATGTATGAATCTAGGAACTTCAGAACATACTTTATTACTGCCTTCCAATATTTCTGCTTCCTCCATTCGCAACAAAACACAACATCCCCAAATACAGAATGGCTACCTTTACTATCGTTCAATTTACACTACGCCTCCGCAAAACTTGTCTTATCTTTATACATTTCGCTGTTCTCCAGAACATTTTCCGAGTGTTAATCATCGACTAAACCTTCAACATCTCGGTGTTTCTTGTCCTAATATTACTTACACAACTAGTCCAATGGCACCATATTGGGACGATGCAACAAGTTCATGTGTTTTTCAAGCTAGTCATGAATGGTTTGACTGTACTGCCTCAGGGACTCTTAATGAATCTGATGTATTTTCTCGTTTTTGTCCTTGTCGTGATGCTCTTCCTAACCAGATTTCTTTATGTTCTAACTGTTTGTGACAAAATATTTTATTCCTTAATGATCACATGTATAGAAAATTATAAAAGCTACATTTATACTTTCACCTTCCCGCCCGGTTGTATATGAATCGTATTATGTACTTTCTTTAACATTTTAAGTGTACGGTGAAGTACTGAATATTTGATTGTTATTTACTGTCGAAAAGCATTTTTCCCATTTCAGTCTACAAGATTAATTAATATATTTACTAGTAACTGCATTTTAATTTGTATTTACTTGCTATAAATTCTAGTCTATGAAATTTTTCTGTTGTAAAGTTTTAATTCCTTAAGATTTTTTTTGTTTTAGAATCCAATTGTAGATTTCTTTTCATGCTTGTACAACGTATTTTTGATTTATATATAATAATATTGTTGTGTGCTAGGAAACTAGATTATTTTTCCATATGTGTTGATTTTACTGAAAACTGATTTGGTTGAGTTTTGTGAATGAAGAACTTCTCAATGTTTTCATTAATGTTTAGTAGTACGCGTAGATTCATTAAATATTCACCCTGATAACTTTTACTAGTTTGGCTAAAGTCCCCTGCACACTATCCTCTACTTTGTGTATGAGAAGCGTGGTTGCATGACCGAACTTATTTCTTTACAAATAAACAAAATTGGACAAAAAATAATTTTCGAGTCTTATGAACCACAGTTGCGGGTCGATTGCCTTAAAAGGGAGAACAAAATGTTAGGGGACCTCAAGGACAGCATTTGGGGTACATTTAACATGTTATTTTCCCTAGACATTTTTATAAAAAAATAGATGGCACCTTTAAAGTAATGTAAATGTCAAAAAGAAGTAACAGATGGTTAATAACAATGATAATAACAAGTGGTGCAGTTTATAATATGGAACAGACTTACTAGATTGCACGAATATACCAGTTGTTTGAGAAATATTATTTTTAATGACTGCTTTCGTTATATCCAATAATATCTATGAGGAAATGTACGTAAGATAAATATATGGATGTAGAAATCCACAATTATAATTATGATCCAGGCAGTAATCCAAATCGAGGCATGGTACGTTGAATTATGCGAAGTTGGATTGCGTAATTGCGACTCAATTCGTCTTCGCGCGTTGGGCTTCATTGAACCCTCACCACGATAACCGTTACTATGGGGACCCCATGGGACTGAATTCCAAAGGCAATAGGAAACTGAGACTACAGTTTATAAACTAACCTCACGGGCTACAGAATTACAATCACACTAAGCGGGCTTGACGTGAAAGCGCCAAAGAATTATTGCGGGCGAATATAGAGGCAAATTTATAGTCATATCAAATAAAGGGATAGTGAATCAAAGCACAGATTGCTTTTGCAATACTAGCACATGTATGAGGAAGGGAGAATAGTACATCGAGCTGTATTTAAGCGATTAAGACTTTAGTTAGACAGAAATATGCGTGGGCTGTAACAAAAGTTCAAATATACACGTTTAAGTAGGTACGATAGCGGTTCTACTGATACAAATAAATGGTTACTATGTTGATAACATTGTCAGATGAAAGGACTTGATAGAGATTAACTGATGTCAAAATTAATCGTAAGAATTCTACTACAAATGTTGTTTTTGGAGTGCTTCGAAAACACGATCTAGATTCTGGAGATGAGATTCTCTGTCCGGATTTGCGATCAAGCTGTTATCTACATAGGCGTGTACAAATTTGAGACCTCTAAGGAAATCGATGAATTTCTTGAAAGTTTGTGTAGTATTTCTCAAGCAGAATGGCATGAGGAAAAATTCTTAAAGTGCACTAGGGATGATGCTAGCGATTTAAGATCTGTTGTCAGCAGCCATGAAATTTGATTAGAGTCTTTAACCAGATTGATCTGCAAGAAACAGTTGTATATTTTCAGGTAGCTGTCAAACTACGATTGTTAAGCGACGGGTAACAATCAAGTATGGTTTTGGCATTCAGTCTTCGATAGTCACTTGTTGGGTGCCAATCATTGCCGTTATTTTTACGGACCATGTACAAGGGAGGTGCCCATGAGCTGTTTCATGGACGAACGATTCCTAAGCCAACTATATGATTGAATTCACTTTTGGCTAACCTCAGCTTTTCAGGAGCTAGTCGGAGCACTTTCGAGAATACAGGTGATCCTTTAGTCGTGATGTGATGTGTAACATTGCTGATTACGCATGGAAGTTTCGGCCGCGTTTAGCATAGCTCGGAGTACTCATCGAGCATTTTGTGATAGTACGGATCTACCATGTGTCTTAGTGTGACTTAGGACAATCTATAAACGGCGAAAAAAGCTACACATACAGATAATAATTATTTCCGTCTTCTAAAATCGTTTGCATGCCACTGAGTAGATTATACTATTTCAGGAGGTCTATATCAATGATTAGCATAGAAACATTTGCAACAACGAAGATCTCGTGAATGGGTCTGCGTGAACCCACGCCAAAATAAATATATCGCTTCCCATATGTGGCAATCGGTTTTCCATTTGCCGTCTGTAATTTAGAAACTTGTTTATGCAGTCGGTGGTTTGAATTCTCAGGAAGAAAGCTAACTTCTGAGCCAATATCGATTGAGTGGCGGACTTTCGTAATCATGTCAGTGATGCATAACAGATGGCTGTGTTCTCCAGCCACAGTTGCCGTTAATACGTGCCGACTGGGGAGTTTCCCAAAAGGTTTATCGTGTCGGCCGCCTTGGGAATCGGGAAATTGCAGGGTCTTCTGCAATTTCAAGATTTTCAATACTGACTATGATGCAAATTCTAATCTTGGTTATCTGTCTCTCATGATCTAGAGGCAGACTGTTTCCGTGAAGAACTCCTTCGAGGAGTTTGAGTGCTTCAACGGTCAAGATGAAGATCAAGATGACGAGTCAAAGTGTGAGAGGTTTGTGACGTCTTTTTGTGTTGTTTGAGACTTTTCTCCGACATAAAAAACCTCGATGTTGAATGTTCCGATGATCTTCAGAATCCGATCGGCATATGTAGCCATTTCATCTGCAGACTTACTTTCAAACAAGACGAGGACGGCCTGCATTATTGAGGAAGCTTTGACAAGAATAGCTGTTTAAACAGACCCTCGTTAAAGGCTCTTTGAACAATGACCACTCGAATTCGTATCAATATTTCTGTTGTTGAGCCATTTTGCAACTCAATTTGCGGAAAAGTTGATCCGAGCTTTGTCGGTCGGTTATTTCTCTGTGTTTAGGAATAACCTTTCATTAAAGTTTCGTAAGGTTCCGGAACGTCCCTAGTAAACATAATAGGTGTGACATACCCGTTAAAATTGCGTGGCAGTGCCTTCATTACAGCGAGGAATTATGTATGTGGGTCTGTCAAGCAGTGCTCGTGGAAATCAGCTTTTGCGTACCAAAATCAGGATTCCATATTATTGGGCCAGAATGGATGAGCTGAAATGTGGGAGGCTAAAGAATCTTAATCCTAAATGACTTGGGGGTTTGTCCGGTCATGATGTATATAAAGTGCATCAATGAACTGAAGAAGAAAAACTATTCGACAATATGAAAACACTATCATATGTAAAAATAAGAATAAAAAAATGGTATATAATGTTCCAACAAGCGACAGACTCATACTGTTTGGTGTACCAGATCTCATCGAGCTCACTTAAGATGCCACAGGTATTCAGAGTCTCACAACTTCCTAAGTAGTAACACAGTTTATAACCGGAATCTGTCAACCAAACGAAGTCAGAAGTCAGAACTTAAGTTCGAAGATATATTTGAATGGCTAACGATATCTCGGGAAGCATTTGATCTTTAATGGCCCGTGGATCTAACTCCAGATCAGAAGGTTGTGTGTTCGAACCACGTCGGGCCCACCATTTTAGTGGCCTGTGGATCTGACTCCAATTAGATCGCATAAATGTTTGTTATCACCTATCCTCGTATACAATCATCGAATTAAATCACGTTAGTCAATAACGGAATGGACTTTAAATACATACATTTTGTATGTAAAGTGAATGCGATAGGAAAATGTAAAATGACGCGCAGCCAGGCGTTACTCAACATTTATAGCCAGACAAACTGCAGACATGTGATGAGACATAGGATATGAAGTGTACACGCATATACGCTTATATAAAAATAGTCAAGACTGATAAGCGAATAATTAACAAGGTCAAAATATGACTCAAGTAGAATGATTAGAATGGGCTGTCCGAAAGTTAGAATAAAGTATATGGGCTTAACATAATAACTGACACTACAGATCTAAGCTGGCTGTAAATAATGCGTAGAACAGTGTGCTCACCTGTCGTCTCGTGCGGATGCGTGGCTGAGCTCCTTCAGCTAGGTGTGTCCATTAAAAGTGTTGAGGTACCACTCCGAAGACTTACAGGGTTATTTATTTTCCGCTACAGTACCAATGAGGAAACGTCAAAAAGAGATAGCTAAGGTTTCCCAAGGACCAAATTATTACTAGAGACAATGGTTACAGGCCTTAAATTGAAACTTTAACATGATAAATACGGGAAGTTTAATCCTAACGTGATTTGCATTTATAAAACTTTTCCTGTGTTCTTACGCAACAAAAGTACCATTTTTGACCAAAAGAATCTATCCTGAGCTATACGTTCGGCAGATTATTTTTTTAGTTTCACACCATTTAATAGTTAACTGTGGTTTTGCCACAGCTAACTATTCGGTTTTTTTTTCAGTTTTTCACGTTAAGACTAGTTCAGATTAGCTCATCCGTTTTATCCATTTTCGTCCGTTTTCAGTGTGTTTTTTGGTGTATTTTTTACGGTCTTAGTCTTTTGCTAGCATCTACACAGTTTACGTCATTATAGTCATGAAAAATTCATGCAAACGACCTTGATGCCTTTTTTCTGTTACATCTGGCATGCAGTGCGACAACTGCGAAGGTTGGTTCCACGAAGCATGCACAGACCTCACAGCAACTGCTTATAACAGAATCAGCAAGTCGGATCATAAGTGGGAATGCGTTACGTGCAGCACGGATGCTGCAGTCTTGCTGACAGGTCTGAAGAGTAAGTTGTCGGCAAACTTGGGGTAAGACAGTCAAAAATGAGTAGAAAAACAAGAGAGCGCAATAAAAACGAAAACAGGGATGTCGACAGGTCTACAAACGATGGAGCAAGCAACAGCATCATTGATGACACGCTGAAACTCAGCACCATGATTACGACGACGGTACTCGACTCCCTCAGCAAACTTGGGTCTCACAGCTCAAGGTCCTTGAACGCGACAGTAGTACCCAAAAACTCTGTAGGTGATTGGACCCATGTCAAAAGAGCTAACAAGGGCCAGGCATCACACTCTAAGTTGAACATCCCAGCTGTTGAACGTAAGTCAACTGGTGATCTGGTCGCACAGTCTACCCCCAAGGTTGTCCGTCCAGGCATCAAAGAGCCAAGGATTCATAAACGTGCTTCCACCCCCAAACAACAAGGTGCTAAGCCTGAACGCAGCGAAAAACCTGGAACGACAATAACGGTTCGTGACGAATCTCTCATAGTCATGAACTTCAAAGACAACCCTGACCTTCCTCTCAGTTTGTAGGACAAAAATGACAGGATGCTCTGGGGAGAATTGTACAGGAAACTTAGACTTCCAAGAATAGAGCCTTTGACAGTCACACGGCTCACTCGGGGAAAGGAATCTAAGCATCAAAATCACCCGAGGCTACTTCGGGTAACACTTAAGAATGCTACCGACGTAGAGGATGTCCTACTAGCGAGTCATTTACTGAAGTCAGTTGGGAATGTAAGAATACTGCTTGATATACCGTATTATGAGCGCAATCTCATCCAGAACATCCCCAAAGAAACTCACGATCAGTTTTTCCGCGGTAGGAATATAATCGTGCAAGGAATACCGGAAAATACGGACCCTACTCAATCAAAGACTGACATCAAGGAATGGAAATTCATCAAACAGTCATTGAGGCTCACAAACATACTGACTCAGCATGTGACAAGACTAGCCAAGAAGGATGGTGAGTCTAGACACCGTCTAATGAAGATAACCTTCCCATTTTCACACATGGCGGCCGCAACTCTGGAAGCATTTCATGCCAACAGACGTCGACTGCCACCTGAAATCCACATGCACCCGGATAGGCCATACGAAGTTAGGACCAAACACAAATGCAAGTTGGAGCTGACCATTCCACTTGTGAACTGTCTAGACGACAAAAAAACGTGTAAAGGACAGGGCTTACCACCTCGGCAAACCTCATATAGGCGGGCTACCTGTCCATTCACGTAAGGCTCATACAGACAAACCGGAAGAAGCTCACGCGTTTCAAATCGAAAGCATAAACTGCTTATATATGAACACCGCGAGTCTACCAAACAATGCCTATCTGATAGGAATATCTGAGACCTGGATATCTTTTCAATTCTCGGACCACGAGTTAGCATTACCTGGGATGTCTTTGTTCCGCAATGACAGAAAATCAGGATATGGGGGCGGAGTAGCTGTTTACGTACATTCTTGCTTGGAGATGTTTCAAGTTCATAACCTCGAGTTTAACAATCTTGAGGATTCCATATGGTGCTCTGTAAGATTGTCAAGTACTTCGAGGTGTCTAGTTGGAGTCATTTACAGGAAGCCAACTGCCGAAATCGAGTACGATAGTCGTATGCTGGAAGGACTATCCCACTCTACTCGTCTCGGATTCATACACATCCTGATTCTAGGGGATTTTAATCTCCCTATAGTCAACTTCGTGGAACACACGTATACTGGAGGCGACAACTCAATTGAAGCTCGGTTCTTCAACCCTATCGATGACTTGGGATTGTACGAAAATGTGAGGTCGGCAACTCGTTGGAGAAACAGTCAGACGCCATCGCGCTTAGATTGTGTATTCACAAAAGGAGAATTTCTAGTTGACAACCTCTCAATCTTGGCTCCCCTGGGAAAAAGTGATCATTCCGTCATAGCCTTCAGTTTTGTCAGCATAACTAAGCTAAGATACCCCAAAAATATCTTGCGTTGGAACTTTAAACGGCTAAATGTGCCAGCTCTACACGACTATCTACAACAGGTGGTTTGGGATGTTCATCCCCAACTCGACGTGGACGGTCATTGGGACTTCTCAGTGCACACGCTCTTACGTGCTACAAACCATTCAGTTCCTCAAACGGTTCCCAAAAGCCGCAAAAGGCACTGTTGAGCGGAATACAAACGAACTGACAACGACGGAGTGTATAGGCAATATAAGCATATCAGGAACATATGCACGAAGGCTATAAGAGAAGGCAGGCTTCAGTACCAGACAAAGCTTATGGACAAACTTGCCTCTAATCCTAAAAGCTTATTCTGTTATGCAGCATCTCTTCGTCAAGCCAACACTGGAGTTTCCCAACTGCTAGGTCTTAACTGCCCGACCAACAAAGATGGCGACGCCGCTAACCTTCTGGCTGAACAATACTGCCAGACATTTCAATCGACCGACATTAACTTTACTGATGACAGTTTCGTTTGCAATTCCACAGGACTTTCCGAAGTGTACCTAAGCGCTGACTTGGTGTTCCGGAAACTGCAGCACTTAAGATTAGACACTTCTCCTGGCCCGGATATGGTCCATTCCGCTATACACTCGCTAAGTCAAAGAAAACTACCGGAAAATTGGAAGCTGACTCACATCACACCAATTTTCAAAGGAGGTCGATGCAGCGAACCTTCAAGTTACCGACCGGTGGCTCTTCTCTTCATACCCTCAAAAATCATGGAGTCCCTGATATTTGGTGGTATAAACGACCATTTACTGTCCTTAAATTTCTTCTCACCCCAACAGCACGGTTTCAGAAAGGGTTACTCTTGTATTACCAGCCTGCTGACTGCGGTGGAAAGATGGACAAGCACCCTTGATCACAAGGAGAAGGTTGGTATCATCTACCTAGATTTCTCAAAAGCTTTTGATAAGGTTAAACATACATGTCTTATCAATAAGCTCAAACGATTGGGAATCAGACCACCTCTAATCGATTGGCTCACTTCATACCTGAAAAATCGACATTTTAATGTCAGGGTTAATTTCACTCTCTCTCAGGCTATGGAATGTCATAGTGGGGTCCCCCAGGGCTCAATACTAAGGCCTCTTCTCTTCTTCATCTACATAAATGATCTTCCTCGACAGGTAATGTCAGATTTATTACTTTTTGCCGACGACGTGAAACCAAGACGATATACAGGCACTTCAGGAGGATCTGACTCGACTTCAAAGTTGGGCAGACGATAACGGACTTAACTTTAACACTTCAAAGTGTAAAGTAGTCCATCTGCGACATGTTGCAGACTACAGTTATAACTTAGGTGACTCCCCTCTAGTAGTATCTCAAGTCGAAAAAGATTTAGGAGTCTTGGTGCCCTACGATTTAATGTCTTATGCTAACTGTGACAAAAATGCCTTCCGAGCAAACCTTGCACTGGTAACATTGAAGCGCATTTTTGGCCAGTTTGACGGAAGAACTTTCCATATAATCTTCAATAGTTTTATCCGTCCCCATTTAGAGTACGGAAACATAGTATTTCCCCCCTCACTCCAAAAGGATAAGGACACTCTGGAGCGTATTCAACGGCGAGCCACGAAATGGGTTCGAGGACTCAAATTTTAACCTTACGAAGAGCGCCTCCATTCAACAGACCTTTACCCATTAGAGTTTAGGCGTCTTAGAGGTGATCTATTAATGGCTTATATATTCTCAACACTTCTGGACATTCTCTCAGACACCTATTTAAGCTTAGTTCCAACACTAACCTAAGGGGTAACACCCAAAAACTGGAGACACAACATAGCAGAACGGAATGCAGACACAACTTCTACTCCTTAAGAGTTGTCAAATGCTGGAATTCGCTGCCGGCCGAGCTAGTCCAAGCGACTTCCCAGGATTCCTTTAAGAGGCAACTTGATCTATTCTTGAGGACTAAGGATAGTATCGCACTATGATTTATCAATTTCCTTTCCTGTTTTATTGATAACATACCTAGGTTCCTGCTTAGAGATATTGGTGATCCCCTGCTACTAGACATGGAATCCTGTTAAGCGAAAGCTTCTTGTATTCCGTCAACAACCATTTGAACCATTTGAACCTCAGATCGTAGCAAAATTTATTGTTCCCTCAAATGTCCTTGCTCTTCAAATCCAGCTAGAACTTTAAGCCTTTTTCACTTTCAATGAACAAAAATGCATTTTTGTTCATCATATACAGGCCGCAAGAAACAAACTGTTCATTATTTCTACTGCGCAAAATTTGAGGTTTGAAACTTTGAGGGCGCTTATCTTAAAGGTTACCCAACATATGGGTCGCAAGAAAGGTCAGAAGTACGACCACCAGTCGAAGAGTTCCAACGTGCAACAATATTCTGAAAAACTAGCTGCAAATGGCAACACAAGTGAATCGGCGCCCGACGTTAAATTATCTGAGTCACCTGATCAAGATGCTGGTGCTAGTAGTGTGGAGACTATCGATGTTTTAGGGAATGGTCTCGTCATTAAAAAGGCAAACTTTGTTGACTAATAACTTTTCTCTAGACTTTGAAAAAAGGTCTCGGTGGGGAAACTCGTCCCAGTCATGGTGATTCTGTCGTTGTAAATTACAAATGTTGGTTGGAAGATGGAACGCTTGTTGACGACGCCGAAAATGTGAAAATGGTCCTAGGTGATGGCGATATAATACATGGTAAGAGAGCATTTTTAAATTAAGGATTTTGAACAGCATTTGACCTCTCTATTCCACTGGCTGAGCACAAAGAGATATTCGAACTGACAACTGACTCTCGGTTCGCTTATGGATCTCGTGGACGGTAGGTTGTGAAAATAACTCTCCTACAAGATTTGTTCCGAAATCGCTCCATGCTGTAATATTTGAGGTTCCAACTTTTTTCAGATGCTTTTTAGCTATACTTACATATGTAGGGTTATGTATTAAGGGTCAAGCTGTAGTTTTGAGGATGATACTACACTTTATGTACGACATTTGAACGACGCTTGAGTGGCCTCAATAATGTCCACCTTACCAGGACTAGGGTAGGGTTGTAAAGTATTGTGAAGAATGGGGATTATGATTTACAGTTGATGGTTAGAGTTAGGAGTTAGATTTGTTGTTGTGTAGCACAAACAGAAAATTATCCACTTGAGTCTTTACGCATAACTTTTCGTTGTAATGATAATCTTAACCGGTTATTCGGCCCTTGGGAAATTGTTCCGAACAACAGTTGAATGTATATTAAGGTGGCGTGCAATAGTCTTAAGGCCAAAATTTATTTACTCATCGAAACGGAAAAGCAGAACAACCAAACGTAGTAAGGACTCGAAAGGAATATTTCGCTGTTGCCATCCTTTTGTTCCTGCAGCAGACTGCATTGTGACAGTACCTGTAATCATACGACTACCCAATCAACCTTAAAATGGCAATTCTTATTAATATACATCCGAGTTATTACTGATAGTGTGGCGCATATATATTTGGTGCCCTCTTGTACCAATATTTGTGTTCAAATAAATAAATAAACAGTTATTATACTTTGACCAGAGGACTGCCATAAATAAACCATAATTATCAAGTTAAAATGTCAACTGTTAGTTGAGCATTAACGTCATGATATGCTTCCAAGTAAGTTTCTTGTTAAAGCTTTGTATCGAATTTTTATTAGCCTTAGAACTCGGGTTTTTATTATAAAAATAAATGTACAATTTTGGTTGTTAGAGGTCCTCATCAACTTTAGATACTTCTCAATTTTCTCAGGGATCCTGATATACCATCAGGGGCAAAGTTAACTTATCGCATCGAAGTTTTAAAAGTTGATGACCCTCCTTGTTATGCCAGTATGTCGAATTCGGAAAGACTTGCTGTTGCTAATCAGAAGAAAGATAGAGGCAACTATTACTACAGGTAGGTGAAATCAAATTAAATGATATCTTCAAACCAGGAGAGAAGAATTTGCGTTCGCTATCGATAGTTATAACAAAGCATTGAAAATTTTACAATTGCCTCCTGTGCCTCCTACCCGATCCTCAGAAAAGAAACTTCCGGAAACCGACTGTCCGGCTGAGCTTATTAATGATGCAAAGTTGAAATTAGAAAATAATCTTGCAGCTGCCCAGTTAAAGGTAAAGCATATGAATAAGTTATCAATTAAATATCATTTCTTTACTAATCTTTTGCCCAATCTTAAAATATTTCACCGGGAGCTGCTTTTTGAAATTCCGTTAAACTGTACGCTAACTGATTGTGTTTTTACCTCTGATTTCTATTTAGTTCTGATAAAAAACCCTGATATTTACGTCTTGCTCGTAATATTGTGGAGTAGTTTGGGAAATCCTGTTTCGGTTGTTAGTAGTAGACAAGAGGGTTTCACTAGTTACATCATGTATTTCGACTTCGAACCGTCGTTGATAAGGTCTTAAACCAGTGGTTTGTGTGATCATTAAGATACGATCCAGAGATCTCTGATGTTCTAAAATGTGACGGCTGTATAGTACTGTCTTTTCGTGATCATATCATTATCATCGACTCTCCAGATCTCATTTTTTCAGTTACTTCCTGAGTTAATAAATGATGGTTGATATGAAGCCCATTTAGATGATCTACTTGTGATTTGAACTATGCTTAAGTTAATGCGTAAGATAATTCTAAATTAGAAACTTTCCTTTGTAAATATTTGCATTGAAAACCATTAGATTAATGATTGTGTTCTAAAGTGATGTGACATAAAGTCTTGGATTTTCATTTTTACCAGCTGCACAGAAAATAAATATTGATCTTTATTATTATTATTAATAATAGCTTTATTCAATATTATATCTTCGGTAGAACATAGAATTCTCAGCACATAGCCTCTAAACAAGTTTTCATTTCTTACTTCTTGGTCGGTCCTGACGACAATTATTGAGTGGTCTCCAGCTAGAAGTTAGCAGGCCAGAAATCTACATCTGAATAATGTACATTCTTTTCGCTGCACTTTCCCAACAACCACGATGTCTCTGATTGGGACTTTTTTAACGTGTATTACGAAAGGTTGTACACTTTTCAGAAATGCACTTGAATAGGTTATGTGATTAATAACCACAACGATGTATTAAAACAAACAAAACAGGTATCTTGTTGAAATATCTAAATAGCAGGAAGAGGTAGACCAGAGGTTGTTTAGTGTATATGTGATTGAGGATTTTAACCAATCGATTTCAACCATTGGCTCTGTGTAAATTGACCAACTTGGTTGGTAGCCTAGTACATCAACTTCTGTTGCCAACATCTACTAGCCATATAATTCACTGGATTTTTATTAACCACATAGTTATGGTTGGTCATCGTTGCCTCAGGTTTAGCTATTCCTGACTGTATTGTTTATTATTTAAACACAAACATTAGTACAAGAAGGCATTATATGTTTATGCGTGTGTGAGCGACCTCAAGCAGTTGTCCCTTGGACACTGCGATTGCGCTCTCAAACCACTAAGACCCCTAACCCAATTTCCTTTTCATGTACCTCCAGAAGAACCCTTTCACGATGTGGGCAACCGGGAAGTCATATGAGAGCATTTTGAGGGGGAAAACGGACTCTCCCCACCCTCGGTTGTACAAGGGCTTTGGGGGCCTTCTCGGTGTAGAATAATCCTTTGCATCTAAAGTTGTGCAAATGAGCAATAGACCCTGGTAATCACATCAATAAATTTAGAAATAATCACCAATCATTTCAGATTTTATTGCTGTCACAAAATTTGATAGATTAATTGTTCGATCAGTGTAGACCATATAGAAGTTGTAGGCCTAGTTAAAATACCATGTGTAGTCACTAATTTGCATTTCTAAAATATTTTAACAATAATATTCCATGGAGAATTTTAAACTGTACTAATAATGCATTTAAAAGACGCTCTCTTGTAAATAAACTGGTGAATGTTCTCGAACTCACTACTCAAGATAGTGTTTGGTACGTAAAATAAATATGCAATAATTTCACATAGTCGCCAATATGGTGCATACAAAATATCAGACTTTGTTTTTAATATGTTATTCTAGTCTATTTAGAACATTATCAACTAATGCTTATCATCTCTCTCTCTCTCTCTCTCTATATATATATATATATATATATATATATATATATATATATATATATATATATATATATATATATATATATATATAGGTAGAAGCATACGATGCCGCTATCATGTCTTGTGATGCTGTTTTGCAAAGCGATCCACAAAATATTAAGGCCTTATTCAGGAAAGGAAAGGTCAGTTGTGTGTTGTTTATTTGGTACGCTAATATTTATGATTTTATTTATTTAAACGTAAACATCGGTAAAAGAAGGCACCAAATAGAAATGCGCCACATAAATCGAATGATTTATGTGGGGGCTGGGATACTGCCCAGACTGAAGCAGATGGTTTCCTTAGGCGGCCACACCCGAAGTTTGTGACCTAGAGATCTAATACACAAGACAGTGGAGCAACGTAAAGAGATGCATTCCCATAGTAGCCGGTGACCAACGATTGGTTCATACGCCATTTGTTTCCTTAGGATTCTGGGCCCATTGGAATCAGGGTTTTTCAACTCCCCCAGTTGGATCCTCTGTATCCACCACCCCAGTTGAAACGCCAGACATTCACTTTTCATCCTCTCAATTTCGTAAGCAACACCCGTGCCACAAGAAGGCACTGGTTGTATGCACGTGGCCATGTAAGAGCACTTCGAGAGGGAGAGTTAACTCTCCCCACTCTCGACCGTACCAGGGCATTTGGTTTATTCTTGTAATTTTTTAAGGTACACTTATTTTAACACCTTGTATTCATTGAACATCACTCGAACTTATTCGCTGTTCTTTTCTAGATCTTATTTTTCGAAATATCACTGCTGATTTTTAATCTCGTGAATATATCTTTTCTGTTTGAACCTTGTTATGTATCTGTAATTTTTCTTACTATATTAGATAGTACTACTATTTCGACTCTTGTGCTATATATCCCGATAGTTTTCGTCGTTATGTTGGAGTGCTGCGCTAACTTGAATCATTGCACATACCGAATCCTCCATTGTTTTTGACTGACTGGCTGACTGACTTATTTCGGGGATTTTGTGCAAATTATGCCATTTAAAAATTTTTCGTACACTACGTGGCTCCATACAAAAGTTGCCGAATCTTCAAAGACGAATATCAAACATTGATTTTGTCATCTCATTAGCCTTTGTATTTACGTCAGTTTTCGGAATTTCGTCTTTTCACAAAGCTGTCAAGAAGGTTGAAAAAAGAACATGTGCATCTCAGGGTCATTCTTTGCTGACTTAATTTATTAGTTAAAATAATAGTCGTTTTTTTAGAAAAACGCCTTATTGGCATCATTCCTCAAGTATATTGAGAGGTAAATGTATTCAATGCAATAGCCACCTACATTTTGCCCTAAAATGTGACGCGATATAATTTCCGATTCAACATTAGCTGTTTTTCCCTTTTTTTGACTTCATACGGCTTCAAGGTGCAGCCATTCCAGACAGTTAAGCTCATTAGAGCCAGTATATTAGCTGAACATCGTCACTTTGGTTATGTATCAGTTAGTATATTATTTATTTACAAAAATTCCAGTACCGTCGATCACGTAGTGAATCATGAACTCAGCTGGGACCCAAGTAGATAATTAGTTCAATAGGTACCCAAACTAAAGTACTCAAGTAGTTTGTGCACTCCATCCCAGCAAAGCGTTAGTAGTTGAAAACGTAAAACCATGTGACAGGGCGTTTTAACTAATGAAAATGGGACAACTGTATTGCCACAGGTGGTGATTATCTTAGGGTGAATAACAGTTGTCTTCGAAATTACCTAAAATAAAAATCATGTTAACGCTGCGTATTTATTAGATAAATTACTTATTAATGCTTATAAATCCTCACATTAGCGGACTAGGTACTCGCTTTGTTGCATCAGTTTTATATTAAGCTACTTGGTTGCACTTTTATTGTAACAGTTTCACGCCTAATCAGATAGTATAATTACGTTTTCATTATTAAACCAAGTATAATCAGTGCAAGGACCGAAATTACCCCTCAACGTATGATAAATCAGTTTCTTATGCGTCTGAATATAATCATACCAATCTATGTCACAGTATACCTATCAACTGATAGATCAGATCTATGTCGATACTTTTTGACCGATCGCCAATGGAATTATATTTAAGGAGAAACTATCTGAATTCATAATGTTCTTGACTGCTGCTAAATGTTATCTTTTTGTTGAACAATAATCATACGTTCAATGTTATTATAGACATGTCAGGTTTATATTTTCTACCATCCCTTATAATAGGCTCTTTTGGAAATGAAAGAAGTAGATGATGCTATCCCGATTCTCCAGAAAGTACTAACAATATCTCCAGGTTCACAAATGGCTAGTGTTGAGTTAGCTCGTGCTCAAGCTATACGCCAGAAAGAACGAGAACATTGGTCACGGTCTATTAATCGTAGGTTCCCGAAAACTAAGCAAAATAAGAATACAAAACTATCTGCTGCCTCCAGAGTTAAGCTGGTGATGGTGAGTAAATCTGGATTGTAGTTTTTGCAATAAGTTGATTATTTGGTTTAATTAGATTTTTTTATGACGCGCGGTGTCCGAGACTGATGCTAATACAAACTTCCCATTAGAAAGTTCCTACTCGGTGAGCGAACTGAAAGTGAAAGAAGAGGTTTATTAGGCTAAGTCGATTCACTCACATAAGCACATATATTGCCTAAAAACGAAAGTATTTCTTGCCCAATAAAATGTACTTGTCATCAGTGTTATGACCTTTATGTCTGACTTTTTCTATCACGCGACCTTTCGACTAATCAGAATACGACTTATACGATTTTGCACTATGCCGCACCAATGACGTTCAACCGGTATGAGCAGTTTAGCGTCCTTATTGGTCCTATGTCCTCCGAGCCCTTCCACTCGAGTCCAGAACACAACACCAGCTTCTGTAATATGAATCGAACCGAATCAGACATACCCGGTTTATATATCAATCAGCCAGACCACAACGCACCATAAATTAGAAAATAACATGTGTACACAAATAAGCCAAAAAGTGGGTGTGAACGCGGGAGATAGTAATTAATAGACTGAGCATAGCTTAAGAACCGTAAATCGTATAATAATAAACTATAGGTCGAAATAAAGCTTATAATAAGAGGAATATAAATATACGTAATAAGAATATTTATCGAATATTAGTCTATTAACAGTCTTCGGAAGTTACCTGTAATTTAATCTTCATCGGGTTATAACAATTAGGAAATTTTTGATTGATACAACTTAGCTTTCTCATTTGCTGACTTGCCCACTGTGTCAGCTTCATACTTTAGCGTATATGTGGTCCCCTGTGAATATTTGCTCCGTCCCTTTGTATGAGTCATACAGGCTTCTATGAATTGACGGGAATTATTGGTGATACTGTTCAAAAGCGGTAGTTATTTCTAAGCTTTGACGTATGTATTTAGTTATCAAAATTTAGCAATTTTTAACTAACATTCATCATCATTTTAACCAAGCGTTGTTGTTTATTTACTGCTTCTAGACTTCTCGTCCTGTAATTGTAACAAGTATCATGGCGATTCTCTCTGTTCTTGTTGGGTTTGTTGCATACATTTATCAACCTGCCATTATGAACATCAATATATAGAAATTATCTAATTATTTCTATCTTATTCCATCTTTACATTATTGAGGCGAGGTATACTATAACCAGAAGAAATGTAAAATCCATTAGTTATCATTTGTAAATAAATAATACCGAAACAAGTTGTATTTAACTTGAAGTTAGTTTAAATGAACACACACCATTTCGCCTTACACGTTCATATTTGTTTTTTTTTCTTTAAATTTTATTTAATGATGAATGGATAGTGTTCATTGTATCTTGCTGACTGACCAATTTTTAGAGTTCAACTTTTTCTTTTCTAACTTTGATGGTAATATTAATAGTTTTTTTTAGGTTAGAAGGGAACTTTATTTCATTTAATATTTATTGCAAACTAAAATATACTTATATATACGTATAACATGTAATAGATTGTTTTAAAAATGGCATACTGATTCATTTAAAAGCTTTCCTCATAAACATTACTACAAATGTACATTATCATTGTATTATTATTATTATTACTTTATAGGGATCTTTATCATTCTATCTATGTAACTTGTGTTTTTCTAACAAATCCTCGTAATTTTTTTTGCTTCAGTTGTTAATTAATTTTTTAAAGTATCTAGTTTGTAATTAGTAGTTAGTTTTACTTTGTGAATTGAACACTTCTAAATGATGTTTTGTTAACTTCCAAGTTAGTTTTATGGTATTTCATACGCAACAATATCATTCAACTCAACAATCAAGTAACGATTCTTATACTAGATCATAAAAATTGTATAAGGAGTGGAGATATAATTTGATCGTCTTAGTTGTCAATTAAGTGAAGTGTTAATTATACTGGAGGTACTAAAGATAGAAGTCACTGAACTGTGATTGAACAGGTGGTTAATTTATTGATTGATGTTCTTCGTGTTTGAAGGTAATAATACCATTCAGGGCAGTAGCGTATAAGAAGAATTAAGTGTGCTCCTTTTTCTGTAAAAATTTTGATTCCATTTGCTTTCATAGTCTTGCGTTTTAGTTAGGTTGTCGATTTTTTTTGTGCTTCAAAAACCTGTTACAGCGTAAATGTATGCACTCGATTTGATCGAGCACCATTTTTCGTTCGTAATGATTTTGAGGTAAATTAATCTGAAAGTTAACATGTGTTCTGACCTTCTTTTACTTGTGTATAATTTGGATCTATCCGAAGATAAACTCCAATTTCCCTGACTTTCTGTTTATGAAAACCTACCCTTGCTACAATTATTCCTGTTACGGCTGTTAACAGTTTCGTACATACATAAATTGACAAAATGATATTTCGCTAGGCTAGAAGACGTTACAGGTATCAGGAAATCATGAAGCCACATTGCATGATGTGGCTGTTTCAGCCTCGATGTTTTAATTTAATCGTAGCTTTGTAGTATTGCTCACGATTCCGTTTATCGACTTATAAGCGTGAGTTTGGTAGATTTAAAACAGCTACCATAACAACGGAAACGGTAGTTTAATAGATCAACCGCTCAACCTTTAGTCCCGTTTCGCCTACTTCAGTTCGAGCAACCGAGTAGTATCAGAGTCTCACAAACCGATTATGTAAACTTGTACCTTGTAAGTAATATTTATTACCATGCAGCGCAGATATTCTGAGGAACAGACCCAGTAGCGAAAATCCAGTTTAAAAGTATAGCTGTCTTTAATTCGGTCTACATATTGAGAGTTACGCCCTCTCACTGCCGTAAAAGGGGTTTATAAAACCTCTGTACAATAACGAATCTCCCTTGTGTTATAACCCAGTGAAGATTAAGTTATAGGTAACTTCCGAAGACTGTTAATAGACTAATGTTCGATAAATATTCTTATTCAACAATTACATTACGTATATTTATATTCCTCTTATTATAAGCTTTATTTTGACCTATAATTTATTATTATACGATTTACGGTCTATTAATTACTATCTCCCGTGTTCACACCCACTTTTTGGCTTATTTGTGTACACATGTTATTTTCTAATTTATGGTGCGTTGTGGTCTGTCTGATTGATATATAAACCGAGTATGTTTAAAATAAACGACTCGATTCATATTACGGAAGCTGGTATTGTGTTCTGAACTCAAGTGGAAGGGCTCGGAGGACATAGGACCAGTAAGGACGCTAAACTGCCCACACCAGTTGAACGTCATTGGTTGGCCTAGTGTGAAGATTCGTATAAGTCGTATTCGGATTAGTAGATAATTCGTGTGATAGAAAAAGACAGACATTCAATGTCATAACACCTTGTCTTACATATCTCTAACACAGACTGTACCCGACCGAAGCTGCTACCTTGACGCGGTGGTCGAGCTTGCCTATCGTGATGACCCAACCGAGCTATATTGGCTGGAACATATGTTCCTGTAGGTTCTACCATGCCAGGCAGGTCGATTGGTGAACGGTAAGACTAAAAACAGCAACTCAAAGTCTGAGGGCGAAGTCGTACTGCTGACTGTACAGAGGTGTGACAGCAGTAAGGTGTTTCCTTCGGACAATCAGCATGACAGCGATGCTGCCTTCCCACAAGGAGGGGTGGGGTTAGAAAAGGTCGACCCTAAAAGTGTCACACCTCACCTTACCTCACGGATTTCCGTCTCCGGCGGTAAGGCCCTTTGAAGAACGGAGCTAACACGTCAAAAACCTTCTACAAAAAGGCCGTGCGCGACCGGCCTCAAGCAGTTGTCCCTTGGGCTCTGCGGTCACGCTCTCAGGTCGTTAAGACCAACACTAATCCAATTTCCTTTTCAGGTTCCTCAAGAAATACCCTTCCACGGTGTGGGCAGCCGGGAAGTGACATCAGCCCTCATACCCGTAACAGCACGCGAGACCAAGTTGGTCACATTCAAATCCTCCCTACACCTCTTAATACCTCTCTTATCTCCATGAGTAACCCTCCTCACGTCTCTTTATCACCTCGCACCGCTAGGGCAAACGATTCGAGTACGTGGAACGCTATTCCTGGTCTCCTGAAACCACGCTCTAAACTACACGTAGGAGCTTTTAACGTCCGAACACTGTGCCAAATAGGACAGCAGGCTTCCTTAGCTAGGACTTTAGAATCTCGCGCCATCGATGTGTGCTGCGTCTCCGAAACGCGCATACAGGATCCAAGTAGCATCATTCATTTGACCTCACCATACCAAAATAAAGAACCGACTCGATTTACGCTTCGTGTATCTGGAAGCCCTGATTCTGCTTCCCGTGGCCTCGCCGGCGTAGGTATAGCATTGAGTTCTAGGGCAGAACTAGCTCTCTTAGAGTGGATCCCAGTAGACAGTCGTTTGTGCGCTGTCCGACTGAACGGAACAGTAAGAATCCGGAAAGATAGGGACACTCGTCGTTGCCTCTTCGTCGTCTCCGCCTATTCTCCCACTGACTGCAGCTCAGATGATGTAAAAGATGAGTTTTACAGAAAGCTTTCGGACCTTCTCCGAAAAGCTAAGCGCTCGGATGTAGTAATAGTGGCCGGTGACTTTAATGCTCAAGTAGGTAAACTGAGCGATAGGGAAAGACACCTAGGTGGATCTTATGGTGTCGTGGCTCAAAGAACAGATAATGCCGACCGGCTGTTGCAGCTATGCTCAGATAACCGCCTGTTCCTTGCAAATACTAACTTTAAGCATAAGGAAAAACATCTTTTAACATGGCGACCCCCTAATTCGTCCCAACGTTGGACCCAAATAGATCACATCGCTATCAGCCACCGATGGAGGGGCTCGATAGAAGACTGTCGCTCATTCTGGAGCACATGCCTAGATTCAGATCATGCTCTAGTGCGAGCGCGTATTTGCTTGCGTCTTACTGGACGTAGGAAAGACGCTGCAAGGAAACCTCTTAGGGGCCTACTTAATGATAGTCAAGCTAAGAGTATATTTCAGGAACAACTAGGAAAACAGTTAGGCAGCCATGTATGTGATGCCCACCCCGATGCAGCTTGGAATGATATCCGAAAAGCTGTGGAAACAGCAGTGATATCTGCTAGTAAGGTAAATCAGAAGGTTAGGGATCAACACTGGATCTCAGCAGCATCTATCGCACTGATAGATGCTCGGAAACTCATTCCACCTGGCTCTGAACATTGTGAAGAGCGGAGTCAGCTTAAGCGCAAGCTGACAAGAAGTCTCCGCAATGATCGCGAACAGTGGTGGGTAGCGAAAGCAAGAGAGATGGAAAAGGCAACGGCAATAGGTAATAGCAGACAATTGTTTAGACTCGTTAAGGAAACCGGAATTAGGAACCCGACTGTTAGCGAAACAATCTCAGAGAAAGATGGACATATTATTCATTCTCAATCCAGGAGATTGGATCGATGGGCAGAACACTTTAGGGATCAGTTCAACTGGCCTTCAGCCACACTTCGGTTTCCCACGATCTCCAGTCAACCTGAATGGCAAGTTAATGTAGGTCCTCCGTCTCTTTATGAAGTTGAAAAAGCCATAGGAAATCTGAGACGAGGGAGAGCAGCAGGCCCTGACAGGTTTACTCCTGAGATTTTTAAGGATGGTGGTCCAGTATTAGCAATGAGATTAACCGAGGTCTTAGGTAGAATTTGGGAACTGGACGTAATCCCATCTGACTGGTCTCAATCACTGATTGTGCCAGTCTAAAAGAAAGGACAAAAGTCCTCTTGTGACAATCACAGAGGAATCAGTTTGACCAATATAGTGTCTAAAATATTAGCTTCAATAATACTTCGACGCCTAATCAAAGCTCGTGAAGAGCAGATTAGAGAAAACCAGGCCGGCTTTCGACCTAGACGTGGTTGTATAGATCAGATATTCACACTATGTCAGGTTCTAGAACACAGACACACATTCAGACGCCCCACAATGGTAGTATTTCTCGATCTTAAGGCGGCATTCGACTCTGTTGACCGTGAGGTTCTATGGCAGTGTTTGTCACTGAAAGGAGTACCAAAGAAGTACATTAACCTTATTAAGGCTCTCTACTCGAACACAACTGGTAGAGTGAGAGCTTATGGCGAACTGTCATCAGAATTGATTACCTCAAGTGGTGTTCGTCAGGGCTGTCCACTCTCCCCATTCTTGTTCAACTTTGTGGTCGACGTACTTTTAGAGATAACACTCTCCTCATCTAAATTTCCGGGGGTTGAACTTCTACCGGGAGGTTCACTTGTTGACTTAGAATATGCAGATGACATAGTTTTATTTGGTGAGGACGCTGACAAAATGCAGAGTCTTCTGACCACTCTAAGCAACAATGCAAGCATGTTTGGGATGCGATTCTCTCCCTCGAAATGCAAAATGTTGCTTCAGGATTGGGTTACATCGACACCCGAACTAGTGATAGGGAGTGAAGTAGTTGAGTGTGTCGACCGCTTCACTTATCTTGGAAGTCTCATCAGCCCTTGTGGTTTGGTGTGTGACGAAATCTCAGCACGGATACAGAAGGCTCGACTAACTTTTGCCACATTGCGTCATTTATGGCGTAGGCGAGATATCCGTCTACCAACCAAAGGACGGGTTTACTGCGCAGCAGTTCGTTCCGTCCTACTTTATGGCAGTGAAACATGGCCGGTAAGAGTAGAGGATATTCGTAGGTTACTAGTATTTGATCATAGGTGTCTTCGAAGTATTGCTCGTATATCCTGGGACCACCGAGTAAGTAACGCAGCTGTTAGGAAATGGGTACTAGGTAAGGATGGCAAATCAATTGATGAAGTAATGAAACTTCATCAGTTGAGATGGCTGGGGCACGTGTTACGTATGCCCAACCACCGACTACCTCGACGTGCTATATTCAGTGGTATAGGTGTAGGTTGGAAGAAAGCTAGGGGCGGCCAAACCAAAACATGGCACAAATCCATGAAGTCACTGACAAGTGGACTGAGTCATGTTGGTAGGTGTAGACTACCTGGTTGGGGACCGCGAGATGATAGCAACCTATGGTTAGAGACCCTGAATGACATGGCTCAAAATCGTTTGCAATGGCGCAGGTGCATCCACTCTTTGTGTTCTCCCAAATTCTAATCTTCTGAATTCTTCATGTCCCTTTTTTTCCTCTTTCCAAATTTATTTCACTGAATTATACTCGTTAAATAACATCTCCAAACCCTAATCTTCCCGATTACTGCTTATACTCTTGCTACATCTACCACTACGGGATTTGAATCGACCACTGCATCTCTGTGCTAATGTGGTATGGCAACTCGAACTGATGTACGTACGTACGAAGTTCTACGTTGT